TCAGCTGATTTAGGACGAATCTGATGCGCTGAATCCAAAAATCACATTGGTTTTGCTCAGTCAGGTCAAGTTTTTGAGTTATGGCCACATGTCATTTTTTTACATTTTTATTCACATGTACGCTTGTGTGGAGCATTTTAGAAGTTGGTGGGGGTAAAATGCCATGTTGAATAATTGTTTTGATTGGAAATGATTATTTTAATGACAAGAAGTATTCAGGTTCGATAGTTCTGGGTGATTATGTCGAAAAGGGATCCGTTTGAAGCCATAAAACCTCAAAATCTTCCACGAATTGGTGCGGCAAAGCATAAAGTTGGGGGATCAAAACCCTTGGCTCACTCGAGTACACTGAAGGAGAACTATGAAGGGGTGAAGTATGTGCTGGAGAAAATTGGTTATGATCAGCATAAGTGGTTTATTTGTGTTGACCTGAAGATGGTGAACTTTTTGTTGGGACAACAGTCTGGCTTCACCAAGTACCCATGTTTTCTGTGCATGTGGGATAGTAGGGACTGTGCTCAGCATTACACAAAGAAGGACTGGCCTGTGCAGGAGGAATTGGTGCCTTGCAAAAAAAAGGAACATCATCAACGACCCTCTGGTGGACAGAGACAGAATACTCTTCCCACCGCTGCACATCAAGCTCGGCTTAATCAAGCAATTCACCAAGGCTCTGGACAAGGATGGTGACTGCTTCACTTACTTGTGCCAGGCTTTTCCAGGATTGACCATGGAGAAGTTGAAGGCTGACATCTTTGATGGTCCTCAGATCCGTCAGCTCATCAGAGATCCAGAGTTCGGAAACTCAATGAACGAAGTGGAACTGGAAGCGTGGAAGGCATTTGTTCTGGTAGTGAAGAACTTTTTTGGCAACAATAAGGCCAGAAACTACGCAGAACTTGTCAACAACATTCTGACTGCTTTCAGAAACCTGGGCTGCAACATGAACGTCAAGATGCACTACCTATTTTCACATATGGACCGGTTTCCTGAGAACCTGGGTTCAATGAGTGACGAGCAGGGGGAGAGATTCCATCAGGACTTGAAAGAGATGGGAGACCAGGTATCAGGGTTGCTGGGACGCAGTCATGATGGCTGACTACTGTTGGACTCTGAAGAGAGACCTCCCTGCCGCTGAGCATCCCAGGAGTTCCAAGAAACGGAAGTTCAAGCCCTGAAGTTTGAAAAATGGTGAAGCAACATGCAATTTACATGTACTTACCTTTATCAATGCCCTCCATTCAGTTTACAGTAATCAATGTTTCTATCAGGTAATCAATATATGTTGTTGGAAAAACATTTTTTCTCTAAAAAACATATTTAGGATGATATGTGTTGACAAAAATCAGCTGATAATGCCACAAAAATGTAACTGATTTTGTCATAAGATCTGATTTTTTTCAAATCAACATAGCACAAAAACCTGACCTGATGGAGAGAAACGGATGCCATTTCCTGATTCAGCAATGCAAAAATACCCAAATCAGTTGTAGAAATCTGGACAACATTCAAAAAGTAAAAAATTGTTGCCCAGTGTAATTGTTTCTCTCAGCAGGAAGCAAAAATGTCTATAAAGCAAATTATGGCTTTCTCTGTGAAGAGGAGTAACAAAATCCATTTGAAATAAAGGATGTTCTTACTGTCTTTGCTGTGTACACTGTTCTTCAACATTCTACTTAGGTACAAAGAGGATATTATTTCACTCTTTCATACTGTATGTCTTATTCCCAACTTTCTGTTCCATCTTCAAGTTAATGTGGAAGACTTACTTGAACCTATTTGATTAAGATTACTTATATGCCACTTTTCCAGCATCAGCTGTGCCCAAGGTGGCTTACAACAAATATTCAAAACATCCTATAATAATTATATGAAATGGAGAGCATGTCAATAAATTTAAAAATGGCAAAAGAAACAATCTAACAAGCATAGAATAAATCCAATATTACTAAAAAACAAAAAAAAATAGGTTTAAGTATATAAATACAAAGCAGAACAAGAGCTAATTGACAATTAAGTTTCTGGTACTGGTCTTCCTGCACTCCCAGAAGCCTGGCTTAAATAAGAGTTTTGAAGGGAGGAGTTCTTTTACCAGGCTAAATAGTGTACAGCTATCTTCCATATTCTTACTCTAGAGGAGGCTAGCAGCAGCAAAAGGCAAATGCTGGAGAACATAATGATGGTCAGCCGCTTCCCCAACCTCCTGGAAGTGCCAACTGCTGGTACAGTTCTTACTGCACTTCAAAACACCTAAGCAGCACAGTTCAGAGGGAAATGGTCATATCACCAAGAAAGATGACTTACAACAGGCTCCCATATCCCAATTTCAACTGCCTGCAATCTAACATACTTCAGTGTCCCATACTTATTCCACAGGCAGTTGCTGTAGTTAGATCAATGCAGTAAGCTAGCACCTTAGCAGAGTTAAAGATAAAAGATTGCCTTGCTTGTGTTCCCCCCACCCATAACAATAAATTGCATATCCCCATGTTGAAAATAAATTATTCTTTAATTATTCCTGATCCTATATGCATGTCTGCTTGGAAATGCTCTCAGTGAATTCAGTAGGACTTACTGCCCAGAATGAGCCTTAGGGCTCATCCACACATCTTCTCTGTACTTGATTACTGTACTCTTGGTGACTAGCAACTGAAAATGCAGGAATGCCGTTTCACTTGTTTACCAGACAAGAATGATTTCAACATTACCACAATGTGTTAATTAAGATGTTTTCATGATTGTACCTGCAGGACTGAATCTTAAGAGGAGTGGGGGAAGAAGAATGTTACACCATTTCAGAAACTTCCCATAGTTAGTTGTCTACAAATTTCCAATAAATCAGCATTTTCTTACACAAACCCATGATAATTAGAGAGTAGGGAAAAAATATGTTTTGCAAAGCACTGAAAAAGTCTGCAGCTTCCACAACTGAAACAAAACAAAACACTTATTTGATGGCCTACGATAGGACTTGCTATGGTTTGGTTCATGTCTGGGTAACCATCTGAGGCACCCCAAAGGCCTTTTGTCATGTCACACACTGCCAGTTTCCAGATGACATGTTTAAAAAAACACACACACAAAACCCTCACATATTTTTGCCCTGGTACAATATGCAACAATGCCCTGGCTTCAAATGCAACAGTTGCAGAATTGCAAGGAAGAGGAGGAGGAACCTTTTCCTGTTATTCTACAGACAAAATTATGGGATTGCTACTTCACCTTTCTTTTGGAAGAATCATCACTGGTTATTAATGCATGCTATTTAAGAATAACCCATTCAAAAGCTATATGTGTGTGTGTGTGTGTGTATATATATATATATATATATATATAGCCTAAAATCCTTTGTTCGGAAAGCATCTATTGCAAATAACAAAGCTAGCCTTCCACAAGGCCTAGATGATAAGCAGCAGGAAGTCTCTCACCTTTTAGAGAGTATTCAAAGAATTCAATACAATCAAGCAATGGGAATTCCTCATAGGCTGTGAAAGGTGACAAGTGTCATGAAATGCCCTTCTCTCCGGAGGGAACCTCCAGCTCCCACTGACCCAAATGACTGCAGGCTATCCTCAGATGTCAAAAACTAACAACGCCCATACATTTCTCCCATTTTCTGTGCCAGCTACTAAATGGAAAAAGGTGTATATTTTATGACAAGGGGAGGAGGGAAGGGGAGGAGGGAATTGCCTGCACACATCATCTTGCAAGATCTGCATTTTAAGAATTCACAGAAATACAAGTTGCCATTTATCTTTCATGAAAACAATAGCAGCACCCCCAAAATGAGATTAAATATTGCACAAGCAAAAACACAACACACACCCAGGTTACTTGTCATATATACCACCACTACCCCCTTCCCTGGCACAGTCCCCCAACGGCTGGATGATTCACCCCTGTAAGGAGAACCAAGTCAAGAAAGACGGATGAGGAAAAGGGAGGTGATAAGAAGACATGCTAACCTACCTGTCCCGAAGGCTTTGGCCACCAGCCACGCTAGATTAGAGGCGATTTTCGCTCTGTTGAAGTCGTAATGATCAAAGGGTTTGATGGCAGGGACAATGAACGTCTTTCTCATTTCCTTGACGTCTGCGGCATCCCCCATTTTCCTTCCCTCCCCCCCACACCCCGGGCCCACAGAGCCTTAATTTTATTTTATTTTCAAAAAATCAATTTACATGATTCACCTTCTAGAAGGCAACCTTCAATATAGAGAGAGATATATTATATATAGATGTATATTTTAAAAATCTAGTAATATATAGGTCTTCCTTCCTTCTCTTTTTAGGAGACCGTAGCAACGGAGGATGGAGGCGGTGCAGCGAACTCAGCTGTGTTTATGGGGCGAAATCCCCCCCGCCACCGCTTCCCCTCCCGCTGCATAAGAATGTGAAAGAAATGCCCTCTTTTTCTCCTTCTCCCCCACCCTACGCCACCCCACCCCAGGGCCCTTTGTCCGAATGCCCTTTTTCCGATTCCAAACAAATAAATTGCAACCGCAGCCGATGGCCAGCTCGGAGACTCCTCGGGCGAATGGTGAGGATTATTGCTGCTGCTGTTATTATCAATTATTCTGGTTGCTTCTTCTTTTTTGAAAGAGAGTCTTCCCCACAAGCCTGAAGAGGAGGCTCCTGCTCGGCTCGGCTCTCCCCTCCGAAATGCAGAGGGGGCGGGGAAAAGGGGCCAGACTCTGGAGGGAGGCGGCCGGGATTTTCCTGCAGCGGCTCGGGAGGAAGCGGCGCCCAAGGCAGGGAGATGTCCGGGCGCTCCAGATACGGCTCTCCAAGCGGGAAGGCGAGGGAGGGACCCGGCGGCCGAGCCGGCCGCGGCGCTTGTCAGTGCTCCTCCCGGCGCTCTGAGGGCCGCCTCGCTTTCTCCGGCGTCGCCCCTATGTCGCCCCCTTCCCAAGCTTCGCCACAGCTCCCCTTCCTCCTCCTCCTCCTCCTCCTCCTCCTGCCGCGCTCAAGACTGAGGAAAGCAGCCGCGCGCAAAGACGCATGCGCGCTCTCCTGGCTAGCCGCTGCCCCCTCCTCATCGTGCGCGCTTCCCCGGCTTGGGCGGAGCTGCCGGGAGAGGAGACGGGGTGGGGTGGGGGATAGACCAAGGGGGAGGCGCAGAGGGGTGTTGCCTTCCCCCCCCCCACGTCCCGCACCGACGCCCGGCTTGGGGAAACGGAGGGTCACGTGGCCGGTACAATGGGGCATTCTTGACGCGCGCGCTCCAGCTCACCATCATCTGGTTCCAGGGCGCCTCAGCGACCAGGGCGGAGGCTGGCCCACCACCAGGGCGCACGGGGTGGGGTGGCAAATGGGGAGGGCCTCGGGCAGCTGAAGGCCTGGGGCAGGCGGGGTGGGCGCGCGGCGGAGCCCGGCCGTTCTCTGCACAAGAACAGGCTGAGAGGAAGCTCTCGGGCATGCATTGGCACCGGCGATGCCCCATGGTAATTATAGACTTAATAGACTATAATAGTCGCCGCCTTTTGGGTAATCATCATGTCTATTATTAGCTCACCTACTTCAAGAGACGTTAGCCCTGCTATGGGGGGGGTACTCCTCATTTTGTTGACGAGGAGCCCCCCCCCCCGGATTTCTACCGCAGAGTCCTGCCTTCAGGGCATCAATGACTGGCAGGCCCATTCTGGAGCGCGCTTTTTTTTTAGTTGCATTTGACTGCACTGTGGGAAATGTTGGCCAATTCGTGAAAAATAAATATTTTTTTAAAACGCGCATATGTGTCTACATCTTAGTGTCTGGGCCACGGAGCAATTGCAATTAGTTAATTATCCGTTTGTTTGTTTTTTAAAAAAAGCTTCTCAAATCCTTGCTTTTCTTCCAACACAGGACATGCAGTTTGCATGTGGGAACTGAAGCTTTGATTTTCACTTGGGCAGCGATAGGATTCTTGGAAAGCACATGTGTCAGTGAGTTATGAACCTTATATAAGCATTTGTGCAGAAATAAAACTGCTTGCACTTTTGCAAAGCTAAGCCGGCCCGGTATGGTTGCAATACAGCATGTTGAGTTTCCTACATTGCAGGGTGTTGAATTAGATTACCCTTGGGGGTCCTTTCCAACTCTATGATTCTATTGTGAACGTAAAATCTTTTTAAAAAAATTATCTGAGAAAAACATGAGTGGCCACTATCACTAGTGCAATCTCTTAGAGTCAATGTAAGTTACCCTGACAGATGGGGCAATTAAAACATGCCTTAAATTTGGAACTAGGCATGTTTATCACTAACTGGGCTATCTTGGGAGAGAGCCAGGGAGACTTATTCCATGTACCAGGAAAGAGTACAGTACTATACGTATGTTATATAGCCTTGCCCTCTCAGGCCAGAGCAGGAAACAGTTACAAGTACTTAATTCTAGGCATGCAATAGTGAGGGACAAACTACACATTACATCCACATGTGTATAACAAAGCTCATAACTAGTATTCCAGGGCATACTGCCTCTGACAGTAAAGGTAGAATATAGCTAGTAGCCATTGATAGTCATATCGCCCATGAATTTAAAGCCATACAAGTTGGCAGCCATCAGTATATCCTGTGGGATCAAATTCTATAGTTTAACTTTGTGCTATGTGAAGAAACACATTCTTTTGTCTCTCCTGAATCTTTCACCATTCAGCTTCATGGCCCTGGGTTCTAGTATTATCAGGGAGAAAAACCTCTTCCTAGCTATCTTATCCACACAGTGTATAATATTTCACACCTATCACACAGACACCCCTCCCCCCCCATTAAGAATCCCCTTGATCATTTTGGTTGCCCTTTTCTGAACCTTTTCCAGCTCTTAAAGTTTTCCTTTTTTAGGTAAGACAATCATAATGGAACATGGTATCCCAAGTTGTGGCCATGCCATCGATTTGTATAACAGCATTATAATTCTGGCAATTGTATTTTCAATCCCTTTCCTAATGATTTCCAAGATGGAATTGGTCTTTTTCAGAGCTGCTGCATACTAGGTCAACATTCTGACCTTGAATTCTACAGCGGATAAAACACATCCTCAATTCCCTATATTACCAGTTTGGGATGAAATGTCACACAGCCCCTAAATCCCCTCCCCTGCCTTGTTAAGTATGGCTCTCAGTCTGTGACCCATCGTATTTTCTAGAGATGTAATTTTCCAACTCTGCTTCATGAAGCTCTGGTGTTAATGCGGAAATATCACCATGCTTTTAATAAGAAGAAAATCAGTAATGAAACAAAACCTGGATCACTTCCCTGGATCACTTGCCAGACTACTAGTCTTCCCCTGCAATACATTACCATAAGGGAGTGTTGAATGTGTTCAGCAGTGCACATTCATGAGTGACAGTAGTGAAACCCAAGATGCCTAGTCACTATTTCATGTGAATTGAGTGTATGGACATGCCTCATTAATATCTGCAATGTGTGTAGAGATTATCTGGTAGACAACATTAAGTAGGGATAAATGTTCCCAGAAGGTATATGGTTTGAAATCCTCTGTTCAGTAGAAGGTAACCAATTACTGTCATGTGGAGAGATTGTGATTGGGCCTCTGAGCAAAAAAGTTGCACATCGCATGTAAAGGTCCTTTTTCAACACTTCATTTACATTCACTGTGCAAGAGCAACCCATCATCCCACTGCTTGGTTCATTGGTCAGGAGAGTTTGCCACTGTAACCATCATAATGACAGAAAAGGGAGATAAGAACGAAATAGAATCACAGAGCATCATGCCTTCAGTGTTAGCCAAAATCATTGATCTTAGTTCTGTAACTCAAGGAGAAAGCAATAGTAGCAGTGCTGAACAGTGTTTGTTTATTTTATTTATTAATTTATTAAACTTATTAGTTGCTTGTCACCCCAAGTAACTTACAGCAATGTTAGTGTGTATGTATACATAAACACACACACACACAGAGAGAGAGAGAGAGAGAGAGAGAGAGAGAGAAATACACACTGCCATAAGGGAAAGGGGGGAAATCATACATCAATATATTGTCTAAAAGAGCTTTCCAAACTTTTCATATTGGTGACACACTTTTTTGACATGCATCGTTTCGTGACACATTAATTCATTTTTACTAGCAAACTGGAAGTTAAACTAACCCATGCTTCCACAAACTCAGGCCTCCAGATGTTTTTGGCTTACAACTCCCATGATCCTTAGCTAGCAGGACCAGTGGTCAGGGATGATTGGAACTGTAGTCTCAAAACATTTGGAGGGATGAGTTTGAGGAAGCCTGAACCAACCCTTTTGCTGTGGTCTAAACCAATGAGCCTCTTGGGATTGCTGATCAGAAGGTCAGCAGTTTAAATCCGCATGACGGGGTGAGCTCCTGTTGCTCTGTCCCAGCTTCTGCCAAACTAGCAGTTCGAAAGCACACCAGTAAAAGTAGATAAATAGGTACTGCTTTGGCAGGAAGGTAAACGGCATTTCTGTGTGCTCTGGCTTCCTTCAGTGTTCTGTTGTACCAGAAGTGGGCCACATGACCCAGAAAGCTGTCTGTGGACAAACGCCGGCTCCCTTGGCCTGAAAGGGAGATGAATGCCACAACCCCATAGTCGCCTTTAACTGGACTTAACTGTCCAGGGGTCCTTTACCTTTTTTTTACCAGCCTTAGGAGCAGCATGGGGAGCATTTGCCTGACACACCTACATACTGCAGCCGACACACGTAACAGTTTGGAAAGCTCAGTTCTAACATAACATTTATGGGGGGGGGAGAACCACCTGCCTTATAAATAATAACAAACAACATTAACTATACTTTAATAATAAACAAACAATACTCCCTCCCACTAATTAGCAGATAAAGAACTATTTTTCCCCTTGGAAATTCCCCACCTGGAAGTCTGTTAGTCTGTTATCAGGCCAGCTGTTGCAAATTGGAAGTGGGTGGGTACACCCTCCTCTTCCAAGGCATGATCCTGCATCTCCTCTCTCTCCAGGAGGGAGCAGTAGCAAGGCAAAACAGGAAACTAGTAGCAAAAGTTTTACCTGGTTTACAGTTTGTCTGGCTACTGCTTCCCTCCTGCTGTTGGGGCTGGGGGTGTTGTCCACCCTTAATTTAGAACAGCAAAGGAAGGGGAATCAAGGAAACTGAAATAAAAAGTCACCTTTTGGTCTTGGTTTTTGTGTTCCCAAAATAAAAGGCCCCAGAAACTCTGTTCTCTGCTAGTACAATGCAGTATAAAGATTCATAATTCGCTTCTCTAGCAAAGCCTGCAAGAAGCAAAGTACAAAAGGTTATAATGCTATATGCACATGGAAGAAAGTCTAAATTGAACTTCAGGACTTGCATAGCAATCCTAGGCATGTCTATTAGAAACAAATACTCTTGTTCAGAGATTTTGTGTAGACTTCAACTGATATTATTTTATATCTTTGTTACAAATTTTATGAGTTCCCTGCTTTTTGCCAAGGTGGAATTTCAAACTGACTGTAGCACTTTAAAAAAGCTGCACTTAAGTCCCATTGAAATTAACAGGTCTCAAGTTAGTCACAATCACAACTGATTTCAACAGGATTTAAACTGGATTATGACACCTGGAGAGGACTGCTGTGGATTTCAGAATTCTACAGAAGACAGAATTATTTCCCCATAACTACTTGCCTCAATAGCACATGGGGCTGAACGTCTTTTACTTGCAGTAAGTGGGACCCGCAACGAAATATTGCAGGCTGGAGTGCTCCTATAAAGAGTCCTATAAAGAGTCCAGCCATCTAGCTATGCCTTCTTTGAGTATACTTCATCCCATCCCTCCATTTTTCTGTTGGTTCTTCCATACACACACCTCAGTCTTTGTTGAGCTGTCTTTGGTTCCCCCCAACCCTTTGGTTCCCCACCTCTCAAGCCTGCTGATACCCCTTCCTTGTTTGTGTGAGGTGCTATTTTGCCTACATAAGGATTCATGCTTAGTGAATGAATTCACTCTTAGTATGTAGCATATTGTAGTATGTACAGCAAGAACCACTGTCTGATTAGATCTTATGAAAGGGAAATTGCCATGGTCCATTTATTAAGATGTTTTGCTTCAGCAGCCACTACTGTTGCAGAGTAAATAAAACAGAGCTCAGGAAAACTCAGTACTTTGGCAGTGTTCAATGGGGTAAGACAGGCAGGGACAGGAGAAGACATTCTTTGATCTGAGAATGGGGGTATAACGTTAAGAAGAATGTTCTTATCGGTGAAGTGTTAGGTGGTGTGCCACTGCATCTGGTCATCCTAGCTGAAATTCAAAGCTATCTACAAGTAAAATATGTGCAAAATGCTGCCTTTTTAAAGGAAACATAGCAATTCTTAGAAAAACATGGAAGCAAATACACACTTCCAGAAGCAAACCCTTGCAGAGTAACAGCGGCATGGGTTTGCTCACAAAGAATTATCTGTGATAAGCAAAGGTCAAAGACATTCACCTTTGCATGAAATATTTCATCCCTACAAAACGTAACTGTAAAAAGAGGAAGGCAAAACAGCCAGCTTTATTAATTTTGTAAGATCAGCAGCTGAGGAACAGCATTCTGTGGCCATAATTCAACTAAGCAGTGAGAATGATAATTTAACTTGAGAGTGATACAACTGAAAACATGGCTTTTGCAAGAGTAGGCAGGAAATAATGTTGAAGATGGAACTGTACCACTTCTACCAGTCAGGCTTATCTGCTAATAGTAGGCTTTTACAAGCAGGAAGAAAAGGTGTAAGTGACCAGAACATAAGATTCAGGTAGGTAGCCGTGTTGGTCTGAAGCAGTTGAAAGAAATAATTTTTTTAAAAAATTGTCCAGTAGCACTTTAGAGACCAACTAAGTTTGTTCTGGGTATAAGCTTTCATGTGCATGCACACTTCTTCAGAACAACAAGAATCATGTTACCTCAGTTTTGAGAAAATTAGCAATCAAATTTTTGCCAAACTTACATCAAAGTATTTCCATTATTGTAAATATGAAGGTCGCTTCAGGCATGACTTTCCCCTCCTACATGGAGTTAAGACAAATATTTTGTGTGAAGTGGCCATTATAGTAAGGACAGGTCTACGGAAACAGGAGAGTCAAGAATTGAGGCTTACTGCAGCAGACACAGGAGGAGGGGGACAATTATCTGGTAAAAAAAATGAAGAAAGACTGGGAGCCCCAGAGGAGGTTGGGACAGTTTGGGAAGGTGGAGTCAAAACACATTTCCTCCTCTCTTTCGGGCATGGTCTGCGATTTTATGCTCTATGTCCAAGCACTCTTTTTTGCTCCATAACTTTCCCCATGAAAACCAGCTCTTTTAAAGCTCAATCAGAGCAAGTATCCATCTGTGGGAAATCTTAATTGATGCTTGCTCTGATTCAGCTTTAAAGAGTATGTTTTGGGAGGAAAGCCTGGAACAAAAAAACCCTACCATGCTCAGACATGGAGTGTTGAAACACAAACCTCTGCCTGGAAAGAGTGGGGGGAAAGGTAAGCAAGTGTGGCCAAGCCCACAGTCTGGTGACTCGGGAGTGGAGGCAGCACCAACTATGGCATGTTCTTGACAGAATCTAGCAGGACCTGGTGCATCCCAGGTGGAGCCAACAAAATTTGGAGTTCACCGAGTTTTCAGACCTGTGATGATAACCTGAGAAAGGGCCAACTCCAGGTTTGAGGGGGCCATCAGTAAAATGCCCTCCTTTGTGTTGGTTTCTGATTTCCCTCACTGAGCAGCAACTGCAGTCACAAGACATTGTTTTACATTCCACAGTCTGTACTGTTGGAGTTTCTCACGGGAAAGGGAGACTGGATGTGACGTACACTGGTTTCCTGTTTTTTCACTGTGTGATTCTCTCCGAGCTGAGAGAGGAGAGAGGATGCATTTTCTGCTCCTGCAGAGGCAAGATGTCTTTCTGTAATATACCAGCTTTGAACTGTAAATAAAGCAATATAGAGTATGTAGCACGTATTCTTCATCCTTCCGCTGGCCACGAGGCTCTGCTTTAAATCAACACGTGGTTATGGGCTCCAGAGGTCGAATCGGAGTGCCGGCAAAGGATCGGAATGCAGAGGAACAGATCGCAACGGAATCTGCTCTGCGCGTAGAAGTGATTGATGAGGTATGTGCTACTGCTCCGGGCAGCCTGCCAGCTTCAAGTTAATGGCTTTATGGCTGGACTTTGAACTTTTAAAGCCGGTTTTGCCGGGAATAGGCAAAAGGCTCCCAGGCACAAGTCACTATGCTGGGGAAATCGAAAGTAACTTTTAAGTGTGCCTTTGTAATGAGGCAGCTGCAGCAGTGACGCAGCAAGATTTAAAGCAGCATATGACGCTGAAGGCTAATGCCAGAGTCATGATGGCCCTTCAGGATGCTTGTGGGATTCCTAAGCTCAACAAGAAAAATTACAGCGACTGGGTTCAGTATGCAGAGGCAATTCTGCGGAAAGAGGGTTTGTTTGAGGTGATTACAGAAACCCCCCCAGTTCCAGTTACAGATGCATGGGAAGCTAAGGATTCCAAAGCAAGGGAACTCTTACATTGATAGTATCCCCAGAAGAGCTCTGTCTATTGCGTGATAAGACCTCAGCCAGAGAAATTTGGGACGCTCTGAGAGAGGCTCATTTAAGGACAGAAGCTGGATCCACTATGTTTTATTTTAACAAGCTGCATAATATGGCTCTTGCTGAAGGTGGAGATGTGCGTTTACATCTGATGGAGATGCAAAATCTGAGACATGAGCTGCAACAGAGAGGACTCAACTTTCCAGAGGCTGTGTATTCTTTCATGATACTACAATCTTTGGGTTCAGGTTGGGAGTCTGTTGCAACCCAGATTGCTGTGCAACCAACTGCTCAGCTGACAGTGGACTTTGTTACTGCCGTGATTTTAAATGAAGCAGATCGCCGGGGTGCTAGCTGCATGGGCAAGGGAGTCTTCACAGACGTCATCCCATAGTGCAGTGGAACCACCAGATGGCGCCAAAGCTTTGAAGGCAGTGAAATGCTACTCGTGTGGACGTCTAGGCCATATGAAGAGGGAATGCAGACATCCCAGGGCCAAGACAGAGCAGCGCAGCGAAGCTCATCGCGCGGAAAAGGCCGAGGCAAAGGCAAAGGTCCGGTGTCTAGGACAACGCAGCACAAGGCTATGGTTTCACGCTTCACTCCAAAGGTTGCAGAGGTCCAGAAGACGTCTAGATCTTTCTTCGTTGTTGATTCAGCGGCCACCCACCACATGTGCAACGATAAGAAACTGTTTGTGTCTTTTACACCGCAGGAAGGTGCGATTCACCAGGCGGATGACCACACTATTCCCAGTAAAGGCTACGGAACTGTTGTTCTTCACAGTTTGGACTTATCGATACAGAATGTGCTTTACGTGCCAGACGCCAAACATAATCTGCTCAGCGTTGGACAGCTGAATGAGCGGAACATTGACGTTTCCTTCAAGAACAAGAAGTGCATCATCACAAAGAAAAATGATTATGTATTGCATGCAGAATATGTTGATCATTTGTTTGTTTTGTATTATGATGATGTGGTGCAGGATGACACTTGTTGCATTGCAGGTTCTAACAAAAGTTTGCATGCAGAATGTATTCACGATTTTCATCGCAAATTTGGTCATTTGCATTTTGAGGCAGTATCTAAAATGCCTGCCTTGGTTGAAGGTATGACTATTAAACCCTGCAGGTACCACATGAAGTGCAAAGCATGCGCAGCAAACAAGGTGAAAATGGCTGCGAAAGGTAAGGTGTCTAGTAGGAAAGCTACAGAACCATACCAGGTTGTTCATGCTGATTTGGTTGGACCACTATCGCCCTCTTTGGGTGGAAATAGATACTTCATGGTTCTCATTGATGCATTTTCTAGATATATTTTTGTGTACAATCTCAAGCAGAAATCGGAGGCTTTTCCTAGGTTCAAGGAATTCTGTGCTTGGTTGGAAAATGTGCATGGTAAGAAGATAAAGACTCTTTTCAGTGATCGCGGGGGAATTCACTTCTCAGCAGTTTGAAGCTTTTCTGACTGAGAAAGGAATTCTACTCGATTTGTGTAGTCCTCGCTCGCCATGGCAGAATGGACTTGCGGAGCAGGCAAATCAGACATTGCTTCAAGGATTAAAAACCTTGCTGCATGATGCCAATCTTCCAGAGAGTTATTGGGCCGAATCTCTCTCGTGTTTTGTTTACAGTTACAATCGCAGGCTATCTTCAGCGATTGGTTGTACCCCCTATGAGAAGATGTTTGGCAAGAAGCCATACATCAAACACATGAAGATTTTGGTTCTGACATGTGGGTTCACTCACCACAAAACTCCAAGTTAGACAAGCGTGGATTGCATGGTATCTTTCTAGGTTATCAGAAAGGGTCTTACAGAATAATGATGACTGACTCTAAGACAATTAAGCTCACGGGAAGTGTTGGGTACAATGCTAAGTGGGGGGAGAATGTGGGAATTTTCCAATGTTATCCTGATGACGGTGATGAGACTGAGGATAGTCAAAAGCAACCACAACAGCCCACACCCACTGATGAAGGTTCTGAGTCTGAATCTGAAACTGAATCGGGTGATTCAGAGGATTTCGAGAGTGCGAAAGCCTCTATGCGACCCTCTGAAAGCTCTGATCAAGAATTGGAGGAACCATTGTTCACAATAGGTCGTTTTTCTCCTAAGAAGGAAGAGGAGAGTGTTGAAGACTTAAGGCTAATTCGTAGGTCACAGAGAGCCACAAAAGGCAAACCTCCAAAGAGATTTGCTGATGAGTTTGCTAAGATAGCAGTAACAGCTGTTAAAAGCTCCAAGAAGGTATTTGAACCTTCAAGTTTCCAAGAAATCCAGGGTTTGGATTCAAAGGAAGCTGAGCCATGGTTAAATGCCATGAAGGCTGAGCTTGATTCCTTAGAAAGGAACAAAACATGGGAGCTAGTTCCAGTAGTTCCAGGAATGAAACTGCTTGGAAGCAAATGGGTCTTCAAAGCGAAGACAGATCAAAATGGCAAGATAGTCAGACACAAAGCCAGATTGGTAGCCAGAGGTTTTGCACAGGTACCAGGTGAAGACTATCACGAGACCTATTCACCCACAGTGAGATATGAAAGCATTAGGCTTATGCTTAAGCTAGCTGCAGAGGAAAATCTACACATTAGTCACCATGATATTAATACAGCTTTTCTGTACGGATCTCTAGATGAATCACTTTATATGCTTCCACCTGATGGCGTACAGGTAAAACAGGGATTTGTTTGTGCTCTGAAGAAATCCCTTTATGGTCTCAAACAAAGTGCACGGTGTTGGCACACAAAACTCACTGAAGTATTGTTTTCTCTAGGTTTTCAGCAAGGGAAAGCTGATCCATGTGTATTTGTCAAAGAGGAGGGGCAAAAGAAACTGTACTGTTTGTTTTATGTTGATGATTTATTATTCTTTTGGAAAGATGTTGCAATGTACAATAGCGCCCTAGCTCAACTGAAAGAGCACTTTGACATGAAAGATCTTGGTGAGGTAAACAACTACCTATCTCTGGAAATAGAGAGAGATCAAGATGGTAACATTCTAGTACACCAGTCACGGAAAATTGCTGATGTGTTAAGCAAACTAAATCTGATGGATGCTAACCCTGTAGACACACCGATGACAACAGGTTATCAGGTAGATGACACTGAAGAAGCATTTTCTGACACTACACTGTACAGGAGTGTGCTAGGCAAGCTAAACTTCATTGCCAGATGTTCAAGACCAGACATTGCTGTTAGCTGTAATTTGCTAAGCAGACAAGTCAACAATCCTAGTGTCAAGGATTGGAAAGCTCTGAAACGCATAGCGCGGTATTTGAAAGGCACTATGCATTACAGACTGAGATTTAACAATCAGAAGTCTGGTGGTCTTGAGATATTTGCAGATGCAAGTTTTGGAAGTGACACTACAGACAGGAAAAGTACGTCTGGAGTTTGCTATATGTACAATCAGAGTCTGTTTGATTGGTCATGCAAGAAGCAAACAACAGTTAGCTTAAGTACTTGTGAAGCTGAACTGAATGCACTGTCTTATTCACTTAAGGATTGTGAATGGTTAGTACAATTGTGCAAAGATATGAAAATTCCTGTCAAATGTCCAATCCAGGTTTACCAGGACAACAAAGCATGTTTGGCTTTGCTGAAGTCTGAAGGTTGTAAGCAAAGCACAAAGCACTTGCAATTAAAGTTGCAGCATGCTAGGGAATGTATTCAGAAGGGACTCGTAACGGTGTCCTATATGCCAGGTAATGAAATTCCTGCTGATGTATTGTCCAAGATTGTATCAAGGGATCAACACTGTACCTATGTGCAGAAGTTGGGTTTGTACTGATATTGTACGAACACGCTGCCCAGTGATGTTCACAGAAAGGGGGAGGATGTTGGTTTCTGATTTCCCTCACTGAGCAGCAACTGCAGTCACAAGACATTGTTTTACATTCCACAGTCTGTACTGTTGGAGTTTCTCACGGGAAAGGGAGACTGGATGTGACGTACACTGGTTTCCTGTTTTTTCACTGTGTGATTCTCTCCGAGCTGAGAGAGGAGAGAGGATGCATTTTCTGCTCCTGCAGAGGCAAGATGTCTTTCTGTAATATACCAGCATTGAACTGTAAATAAAGCAATATAGAGTATGTAGCACGTATTCTTCATCCTTCCGCTGGCCACGAGGCTCTGCTTTAAATCAACACTTTGGACCCCCTCCTCTATTGCTGGGCCCTGGTGGCAGCAGCAGAAGATCTACAATCAGTGCTGTTATTTTTGAACTGCCATTCTAATTTCCATGATATCCCTGACACAGCATCACACCAGGGCATCATGGGAAATTTAGCTCCCAGAACTAGCCATCCACTGTGGAGGCACAGGGCAGGAGTTGCCACAAAAGTGCTCAAGGATGCTCTGTACTGTACTGATGCTGGGCCTGACCTGAAAAGTTGCAAGTACAGTATTGGGGATATCACTGTGAGGTGGGTATGGGGTAACCTACAATTACTTTGTTTCCCACTGTGTTGGGAAGTCAAGGTGTAGTGTAGAAGTGATAGCAACCTCATGAACCTAGACAAAAGTATGTAGGCATTTTCCTTTGCAAGTTGCCATACAGGCATCCAAGGATTCAACCACTGAGTAAAGGAATAAAGGAATTGATGAAAGCATTGCCAACACTTGGGGCATATTTGGGACAAAGCAAGATATGATGGGGAGTGACGCAAGTGGCGTAAGTGACGCAGAGCCTAGGACCTGCTGATCAGAAGGTCGGCAGTTCGAATCCCCATGATGGGGTGAGCTCCCGTTGCTCAGTGCCTGCTCCTGCCCACCTAGCAGTTCGAAAGCACACCAAAAAATGCAAATAGATAAATAGGTACCGCTCCGGCGGGAAGGTAAACGGCGTTTCCGTGCGCTGCTCTGGTTCGCCAGAAGCGGCTTAGTCATGCTGATCACATGACCCTGATGCTGTACGCCGGCTCCCTCGGCCAATAAAGCGAGATGAGCACCGCAACCCCAGAGTCGGCCACGACTGGACCTAAGTGTCAGGGGTCCCTTTACCTTTACCTAAGGTATGATGGGGGGGGGCGAGTGGGTCTGAATCACCATGCTAGGTTTTAATCCATTTTTGTTTGAGAAGCGCCAGTTTATACAAGAGTACACCATGTAGCACAAATGCAAAATTTATAAAAGTGTATTGAATATCAAAGGCCATGATGTGCAGATAGAGGACAAAGTCATCCTCCCTGTGAAGGTTACTAGTTTTTTTTTATTATAAGTTTTATAAATTATAAGTTTAAACACTTAATGCTCCATGTACCAAGGATGAGACTGATGTAATTTGAAGTCACTGACCTGGAGCCTTGGCTATGGTTTCTCAAAGCAGCAATAAGTCCCAAGATTTTCTGTCTGAGAACCAGAAACATTTTTAACCTAGATTAATCATTCTAAGCTTAAACAAACTGAGGGCCCTCTTGCCGTACAGGCAGACTGGGGAGTCAGATTGGGTGACCCATTTCAAGGTGTGCCTGTCATGATGGAAGCAACATAAAAAAAGTTTGGTCCTGACTCTGCTCATTAATCAGGGACTGAATGGGGGATATGTAAGCAGACTGAAAAGTTCAGCTTGTCATCTTGACTCAGATTTATTTATTTTAAAACTGCTTTTGATTTCAAAAACCATCATGCAGAATTTGGTTATGCAATCTTAAGAAGTATCCAAATGCAAACAAACAAGTTTCCAAAATATACGACAGATTTTGTTGCACTTAGTTTTTAGTCTTTGCAACATCCCTAAGAAAAGGAATCGTTGAAAGGTAGGATTACATTAAGTAATTTTAAAAACATATCTGGTGATCACACAGAGTGCCTTTTTCTCTTCAACTTATTTTGGTGGTGGTGGTGGTGGTGGTTGTTATTATTATTATTATTATTATTACTACTACTACTACTATTACTGGAACACCCAAAAACTTACAGCTTTACATAATTTGTTGGCTATAGGTGCCATGGTTCATGTGTCAGGTGCTGCAAGAGTATGGGCCAGCGGCAATTTTGAATCAGGACTTCTGCAGGCCATGTGTATATCTATCCAAAGTCTTTCCCATTCCAGACTACCGGTATATGTCATCCAAATGAAATCTGCCATTAGTCTTGGCTTTCCAGTGAATTTTGTGGCCTGTTTGAACTTGGAATAACTTCCCACTTCCATGATTTGTAGTCATTATTACTAACATGCATTAGAATCCCCGCTTCATCTATATTAAGCATGGATCTAAAAGAGTGAGGGAAATCCTCTTTTAAGCAGCCCTTGAGCACTCTGCACTGTAACAGCACAGCTAAAAATCGCCAAGGAGTAACTAATCCACTTTAAGTGATCTTGTATTTGTTCCTCAAGGGTATTTAAGATTGCCACTATAACTGCAAATAGGCTGGGTGCCTGAAAAACAACAGTGCCCCATTCTGACAGACCTGTTCATAACTGGGGTGCTGGATATGAACAGTGTGATGTAAATGAGGATAAGTACATATCCAACCCTCAGTGTTTTTATATAGGATGAGCGAGAGACCACAAATTATTGGGCATCATGTGCCTTTATCTATGTTCCTCTCTTTCCAATAAAGTAATTCAGAGTGCAGTGGTTTGTTATGCTTTGAAGATTTACCTCCCTACCACCTCTTTGCTGTTACAGCCAGAGAGTCTTTTTTCTCTGAATCCACATCAAAAGGAGAATAATGGAAATCCTTTACTTCAGCCTGCCACACTCATAAATCACTTCGGCTTTTAAAATCAGTTTCTAGCTATGAATACTAAAAAATGTATTAGGCCATACATTTATAAAATTAAACATTTTCTGATTAATTCCCAGCAGTTTGTGCCAGGTAAACATAGTTCCAGCCCGATCATACAGCCAGGTTAGGCAGCTGCCTAATGTAGTTACAGTGGTGAATCGCAAGACGAAATTAATCCGTTCCGCGAGTCTCTTCGTCTTGCGGTTTTTTCGTCTTGCGAAGCACGGCTATTAGCAGCTTAGCGGCTTAGCGGCTATTAATGGCTTAGCAGCTTAGCGGCTATTAACGGCTTAGCGGCTTTAAGAAAAAGGAAACAAACTCGCAAGAACTCGCAAGACGTTTCGTCTTGCGAAGCAAGCCCATAGGGAAATTCGTCTTGCGGAACGACTCAAAAAACGGAAAACTCTTTCGTCTAGCGAGTTTTTCGTCTTGCGAAGCATTCGTCTTGCGGGGCACCACTGTATATGATAGAAAGAGGGAAGAGGGATTAAAAAGAAATAATCTAGTATGTGGGGAGTGGGCTCCATGAACTCTTCTCTCCTGGTGCCGTGGCCCGAAGCATTATTTAAAAAAAATGAACTGAAACAAAAATTGGCAAAGTCGAAATCTGCAATCCTGTAAACTGCCCTGTGAAGGGCAGTAAATAAATAAATAAATAATAATAGCACTCACTAAGGAGAAAGTCTTTAAAAATTCGGTTCTAAATTAATATGTATAGCAGGCATAGGCAAACTCGGCCCTCCAGATGTTTTGGGACTACAATTCCCATCATCCCTGAACACTGGTCCTGTTAGCTAGGGATGATGGGAGTTGTAGTCCCAAAACACCTGGAGAGCTGAGTTTGCCTATGCCTGGTGTATAAGGTTAGGCTGTTAGTTTTATACAGGAAAGTTATTCCAGTATGGAATGTCTTTCATTTCTGCCCCCAAGTCAATTTATCAACCACTGGAATAGAAATCCAAATGCCATGTTTGCCCGAGGCTTTTAAAGGTAGATGGCTTTTGTACATTTCTAGTGAGGAAATGTAAGACAACTTGCAGGTTTCTGAATTCCTTTCATTTTTAAAGTGCACTGTCCACTTTCCAAGATAGAATATTAAACACACAAAACTTGCCCCTATATTGTACTAGCTGTTAAAGGCACACAAGGCCTTCGGGGGGGGGGGGGAGATTGGCAACCTTAATTGGAACATCTATGAAATAAGGCTAATAGTGCAATCCTATATATGTCTACTTAAATAGATGTACAATTTATTTCAAGGGCGCGTACACCCAGGTAAGGGGATAATAAAACCCACTGAGAACAATGGGATGAAGTTCAGAATAAGTGTACAGTGGTACCTCAGAACTCGAACGGCTCCGTTTTGGCTTCCGAACGCCGAAAACCCAGAAGTGAGTGCTCCAGTTTTCGAACGTTCTTCGTAACACAAATGTCCAACACAGCTTCCGCTGTGCAAAAACCTAGCTATCGGCCAGTTGGAAGCCGTGCCTCGGAACTCGAATGTTTTGGAAGTCGAACGGTCTTTCCGAATGGATTGCATTTGAGTTCCGAGGTACCATTGTACACAATAGGATGTTGCTATAGGCCTGCAATTCTATGTACTTACATGGGAGTAAATCTGCCCTCAACACAGTTAAACTTCTACGTAAAATCTATAGGCTTTCTTTTAAACTGCTTTGAGGTTTTTTCCACAACCAAGCAGTATAGAAATTTTATGGCATAAATAACTCTTGAGGTTCCCCCCCCCCAATCAAACAGTATATAAACTAACAACAACAACAATATACTTGGGACTAAGCCCCATTGAATTAAGTGGGACTTATTGAAAAGTATTCCTGCACAGAATCTGGGCACACTGTAATATCAACTAGCAAAATTTGTGATACACGTATCACTTTCATGTAAATCCCAGTAAAGAAAGCAACATGTGGTGAGGAAGTTGGCTAATGGTGAGATCATGGAGTCTGCATCTTGTCATAGTCTTAAGACAGAAAGTAGGAGGAAGGAAGGGGCCTTCCAATGGAGCTGTGTAAGGAGCTTTGCAGGATTCAGATTGAATCTAACACTGCTACAGAGAAGGAACGTACGATGGTTGTTGCCTCTTATTTGAAAATATACAATCCAACTGTCAACTTGATTTCTCTCCATTCTTCTATGAAACAAACAAGTATTGTTTCCTCTCTCTCCATTTCTCTGTTTATCACCTAGCCCAATGAAGAGTTCCTGATAACCCAAAGGCTTGCACACTATTTTGTGACCTTTTGTTGAGCCTAATAAAGGTTGTGCCGTAGTATGGATTTTTTCTTATGGGCCAACACCACTACCTTTACTGTTTGTGTATTGGATAGAAACGATTTTGCTCGGAGCCATGTAATATTTTATTGATCTCTATATAACACATTGGGGGCGGGGTTTGAACAGTTTGCTTCATGAGAAAACTAGGAATCACTACTGCAGATGATGACAGATCATGAGGTACAGCAATTGCTGCTCTGTTGGAAATATTAAAAACTACATTAAAAAGCAAGGGGGTGTTTGTCCATAAAAAAGCAGCTCCAAAAAAACAAAATGTCACAAAATCGTGACAAGAGTTTTAATTATCCAATACAGTGGTACCTTGGTTTACAACCATAATCCGTTCCAGAGGTCTGGTTGTAAACCAAAACAGATTGTAACCCAAGGTGCCCTTTTGCCAATGGGGCCTCCAAAAAAAGGGGGGTTGTAATAAAAAAAGGGGGGGTTGTAATCCAAAAAAAGGACACACACTTCCAGGTTTGACGTGGTTGTAATCCAAAACGGTTGCAAACCAAGGTACCACTATACTCATCATCAGGCAAGATGTTACACTATGAAATGGGGGTGGGTTATGAGGACAAATATAAAACAATAAAATACAAATACTAGGCTGGATGTTGCAGCCGTAAGGTCAGCCTCCAGACTCACTTCCAAGGTAAGAGATTGAATAAGTCTCTGCTCAGTGCTGAAATACCAAATTAAGCAGCTAGGATTCTGAAATAAAGAAGCAATCACCACTCCTCTTTTTTTATATATATAAATAAAACCTAGCTGTTACATGTCTCCCATAATTTAAGCAAAAAGCATGAGGTCCTGGTTGGGCAAACAGCAGAAATTAAAGCTAGAGGTGAATTTTGGATGGCTTTCCAGGTAAGAGAGGCATAATACTAAAACCTGGGGTCATCCAGGGTACTAAATGTTGGAGGATTAAAAAAAGACAAAAGGAAATAGTTCTTCACACAGCACATAGTTAAACTATACAAATTCATGGAGGATAAGGCTATCAAACACTACTAGCCATGATAGTTAGATAGTATATCCAGGATCAGAGATAGCATGCCTGTAAATATGGGTTGCCTGAGAACTATTGTGCTTGCTTGTGGGTTTCCCACAAAGTTGTTTTCTTTGGTAAATGGGCTACTGGACTGGATAGGCCTTTGCTCTTATTGAACAGGGCTCTTTTATGATATTTTTAAAATGGGAACCTTAATATATATATATCAGTAGGAGCAAACACATAAATTTAATAAGTTCATTGGGTGAGATGAATGAAACCTTGAATGTGTCCTTTCGTAACATTTTTCCAGCTTGCCATGCAAATAAGAGATGTAGAAATGTCATAATTCACTGTCATTATTTTGAAATAGTATGCAGCACATTGTCAAAAATAGAAATGCATTCCATCAGGAATGAATCACCAATTATTTGAGAACAGAAAGCACTCATTCATTTCATTTCCCTTGGACAAACCTCAAACACATACTGTACTAGAAAATGTGTTGACCGCTACACAATAATCACAACTACCACACACCTTTTATCTGTAACAGGCAGTGTTATTAACCTTCCTCATGTAATCCTTGAAGTACTTATGGGATCTTAAATAAATACCAAAGTGAAAACTGCTGCTAAATTGAATGTTTCAGCCTTAGCCTTACTAAATTTCAACATCAAGTCATTTCCATGTCAAGATACACTGCTGCCTAATTTTGTTTCTCAAAATTAATCTTTTAGGTCTGTCCCTATCATTAGGCAAAGTGAGGCAGCTGCCTCAGAATGCAGATACTGTCACTGCACCCCCAGCTTTCACCCAAGTCTCCCGACTGTTGCCATTCTTCTGAACTGGTGCTGATGCTTGCTGCTGAGCTACTGTGTTTCACAAGATCAAATAATCAAATGGACAAACCATTTCCAACACACCACTATCCGACTATCAACTCATCTTCTAAAGCACTTTATGTTTTATACTGTATACTGGTACAAAACTGAGTAAGATAAGAATGGATTTCTAAAACACGTAAGATCTTGTTTCCAAGTTTTACTCCAGCTGAAACATATAATTTTCATCACTGCAAATAGAGTTAAGATGACTGATTCAAATAATCTCTATTTCCCTCTTAGAGTTGGGTAGCTTAGCCCATAATACACAACATATTATGAATGTAATCCTCCACCCTTGCAGTGTATTTAGCTGACAAACCATTTGATACTTGCCTTAACCTGCTTTTCTAGGATCAGCTTATTCTGGCTTCAAAAAAGCCTCACTTTTGTGAGGGGATAGTTCAGAACGATCTAATGCCCAAACTTGCTGAGATTTGTTAACGGAAGGCTTTGATACTTTTAGTGGACTGACTTATTAAAGCTACTCTTGAGCTAGGTATAATACAGATAAAGTATGGCACAGGCAATGCCCGGAAGACGTTGACACATTCAGGCAATGGGGTATGAATAAGAGAAAGGGTGTTTCCTCTGGCTAATTTACAGCTAAAGGAGAGCAACACTTGAGACACATTTTTTAAATGTAGTTTTTCTATTATTGTTATATGGTACTGAAAAACTACCTGAAATTCTTCCAAAACAAACTGTATAACACTTCTCAAATGCAAAAGAGATGCTATATCCCAAAATACATGTATGTCAGGGCACTGAAAAATATTGAGATTTCTAACTTCACAAAGGTCATAACTAATCACTATTGCATTTTCTCTCATTATTGCAATATTGCATTGTTGGAAATAAAGAATTGGAGTCCAAAATTGTATCTACTGTTTCCACTTAATTATAAATAAATCTAATGTTTGGCGTCGTTCCTCTCCGTCTCACAGAGTTCGTAAATTTAGCTAGTACAGTATACTTTCACATTTTATTAATCCATTCATCCATCTGCAGTATTTTTGGTCATTCCCAATACTTTGCATACAGCATCTGAGTAGCTGCTGCAATATAAGCTAGGGAGTTTTAAATGTTCCCTTTTTATTGTATCTTTTGCATAGGAAAATATAATGATGCATCTATTTTTGAAGATTTCTTGCTGCAAGTAGGAGGGAAAATGCCAGAGCAGGGGGGTGGGGGTGGACAGAGTTGCATACTTGTCCTCACTTTTCCTTATCATGTGAGGAATTTAGAACACCCGAATAGGGCTAAATTGTGACCATTAAATATGAAGCACTTGGATATACAAAAAAGTAAGATGAAAAATATATCTATTCCAATGGCCATTACTCCGGGGGTCAGCAAATTTATTCAGCATGGGGCCGGTCCACTGTCCCTCAGACCTTGTGGGGGGCCAGACTATATTTTGGGGAAAAACATGAACGAATTCCTATGCCCCACAAATAACCCAGAGATGCATTTTAAATAAAAGCACACATTCTACTCATGTAAAAACACACTGATTCCTGGACCGTCCACGGGCCAGATTGAGAAGGAGATTGGGCTGCATCTGGCCCACGGGCCTTAGTTTGCCTGCCCATGCCATTACTCAGCACGTTATAGGAACATACATACCTATTGTACATTAATTTTGAAACAATTAACTTCAACTTTTTTTGGCTAGGATCCAAAGAACCTCTTGAGATGAAAAAGAAAGAAAGAAAAAAAGAGAGAAAACTCACTGGGGAAAGAGGGGCTCTGTCCATTAATATTTTTGCTATGCAAAAAGCATATTCATTCTATTTGTGATCTGTCCATTTTTCTTGTGAAAAAAATACTCATTTCTCACAGGTCAAAATCCAACACAAGGCACAAAAGCTCTGTATTCCAGGGTCCCAGCCAGACTGTCATCTATGCCAGCTAGACAGGTACATTTTGCAGATAGTATCTACCCTTAGGTTACAATTTATCATCCCAATTAGCAACTTCCTTGTGCAGTATTATGCCAGCTGAGTAAGTGCACCTGGAAGGTGTACTATTTGACTCATTAAATATGAATTGCTGTTGATTTTTTGCTTGACTATTAAATAATTAATTTTAAATTTATACCGTGTTAAAACTAATATCACCCCTCTGAGCTGTTATGTTTTAAAAAGAAGAGGGAAATGATACAGAAGTTATTGGGGAGAAAGGAGAGCAAGCTAGGAGAGTAGATTCTCCCTATGCTATTTAACATCTATATGAAGCCACTGAGAGCTGTCATCAGGATATTTGCAGTGATGTGTCATCAATATGCAGATGATACCCAGCTCTATCTCTCTGTTCCTTATGAATTAGGAGAGGCTGCTGAGGTGTTATGACTAGTGCTTAGTAGGCAGTGATGGGCTAGATGTGAGCCAACAAATTGAAGCTGAATCCTGAAAAAGACATGTGTTATGTGTTCTGAGTTCTTGAGTCTGGGGACTGGCGAGATGACCAGTCCTGGACAGAGTTGTATTCCACTGGAAGATGCAGCCCATAGCTTGCAGGTGCTCCTGGATTCAACTATGTCACTGGAGTACTGGGATTGGAGTACTTTCCCCCAGCTCCAGCTAGTTTGCCAGCTATGGCCCCTTTCGTACAGAAATGACTTGGCCTCTGTACGCCATGCTCTGGTAACTTACTGACTGTATTACTGCAATGCACTCTATGTGGGGCTGGCCTTGAACAAAAACTCAGGAAACTTCAACCAGTCCAAAATGCAGTGCCAGATTACCGGCTGGGGTTCCATTTAGATCTCATATAACCTCAGCTTTAAAACAGCTGAATGGGTTGCCAGTACATTTTCAGGCCCAGTTCATGTTAGTGTTTGGAGCCCTAAAAGACTTAGGCCCCCAATATCTGAAATACCATCCCCTTCTCTACAGACCCTCTGGGTATTAAGGTAAGTAGAGCGGGCCATCTTGGCATTGCCCTTGCCCTTAAAAGCTTGGCAGGGTGGTGGTGGTCTGGGACAAGACATTCTTTGTGGCAGCCCCTAAGTTATCACACTTCCTCCCCATAGTCTTGCATCTGGCAATGTAACTTACACAGTTTTCACTGAATGCTGAAGATGCGCCTCTTTATCCTGGCCTTTGACCTCTGTATACTTACCTTTAACCTTTGATAAAAACTGTTTTAAATGTTGTATTTACATAGTTGTGATCCACCCTGGGATCTCAGCGTGAAGAACAGGTTAACAAATCAAACTAATAATAAATGTACAGTGCAGTCCTATGTACATTTACTCAGAACAAAGTCCTGAGTTCAGTGGGACTTATTCCATGCTTTCAGAATGGGACTTGCTTCTGAGTAAACTTGCTTAGGATTCCATTGCATCTCTGAGGCTATGGACTGGAGTAGCCAGCCGTTTCCACTGTAGATGTTCTGTGTGAAAATGAAAGGACTAGACCCTCTCTCAACAATCTAGCTCTGGCAGATGCAATAAAGTACGTGATAATACTTTAATAAAATCCACTATGCAAAGACTAAACCTAATCTAAATATTTATTTATTTATTATTTTTATTTATTAGATTTATATACCACCCTTCATCAAAAGATCTCAGGGCAGTTCACGTGATAAAAACAAGAGATAAAAGCAGTTCTATTTTTCTAGAAAAAGGTGAACACCTCCCTTCTTCTCTTATAATGGCAATGGTGCCCACCTGAGAAGTGCCGGAACTGAGTTTCAGTGAGTTCCGGCTTAAAAAAAGCCCTGGATAAAAGTACCAAGAAATAGTTAAAACAGAAACAACAAAACAATAACTCCCCTCCCACAAACACATTTAAAAGGCTGTAGAATATTTATCAGCCCAAGGCCTGGTTGAAGAGGAATGAATGTGCTATAAGGAAGGTACTAGACAAACCTCCCTGGGGAGAGCATTCCACAAAAGTAACAGACTCAGTCAAAGAAAAATAAAATAAGCATTAATAAGGCTAAATTAATGTAATATTAAATATATGGCTGCTACTATTTAATATATACAGAGCATCATAGCTAAGTTTAGTATATATACAGTGGTACCTTGGGTTAAGTACTTAATTCGTTCCAGAGGTCTGTTCTTAACCTGAAACTGTTCTTAACCTGAAGCACCACTTTAGCTAAGGGGCCTCTTTCTGCCGCCGCGCCGCCGGAACACGATTTCTGTTCTCATCCTGAAGCAAAGTTCTTAACTCGAGGTATTATTTCTGGGTTAGCGGAGTCTGTAACCTAAAGCATATGTAACCTGAAGTGTATGTAACCTGAGGTACCACTGTACCTGTATTTAGAGCATGGTTTTTTTGCTTTTCCCACGCTGAATGAATTTAACATGTCCTGGCATGGAGACGTAGAAAGCAGCTCCTATTGGCTTCCTTCCTATCATGCCACTGCTAAAGGAACAAGTAGGCAAGTGAAAAGGAGAAAAAAGTGGCAAACATATGTTACTTAGAGATAAAGGGTGGGAGGTGCAAAACAAGGTCCATTTGTAAGCCCTGCTAAACTAAATAAGCCAAGAGCGATAATACGGGTAAAGAATATATAAAGTGCAGTAGCACCTTTAATTGAATCATTACAGCAATTGTGGGTTTCCAAGGCAACAGCTAGCCTATTTCATCAGATGCAAAAACTGAGTATGGCAATACCTTAATTTATACAACCGGCTTTCTAAAAGTACAAGAACTGCACAAGTGTACAATCTATACAGAAATTTGCTCCAAAAAGATGTGTTTTTGGAGCTAGAAAGCAAGAAACCAGTTGAACATCCAGGGTCAGCCAAGGCATTTTGCTACCCGAGGCAAATGAGAATATGTCACTCTCTTCCATTTAACTACAAGTCAACCAGATGGGCAGTTAACTCCTAGTTCAACAATGTGGACAAATTAGTGTCCTCTCCTATTCTCTGAGTATATCAAGCCATCTTAGAGGTAGGTGCACTCATCCTTACGCCTCACACATACTCTCATATGCTGCATGAAGCAATCACTTTGCCTAATGGTGGGTCAGCTCTAAGAACAACTGATGGAAGTAGACTCGTCAACAAAAAAAATATGCCATTATGCTAGTCTGTAAGCTTAGAAGATTCTTTGTTGCTTTTACTTAAACTTCAAAGGAAACCAAATGCAGATCACTACATCATTTATTACATTGAGTGACTACTGATGACCAGCTCACCCAGTGGTAAATGTGAGGAAGCCGTGCCACTTGATAACTGCCCCCCCATTACATTATACATTATAGACATGATTTTTTAAAAAACTAATTCTGATTAGTAGACAAATCTGTGGTAGACATAGCTAAAGGAAGCTGCTTGTATTGAATTGTCTGCACTGAGTGACAGCAGCTCTCGGTTGGTTAGAGCATGCTACTGATAATGCCAAGGTTGCAGGTTTCATCCCCGTATGGGAGAGCTGCATATTCCTGGATTACAGGGGCTTGGACTAGATGATCCTCTGGGTCCCTTCCAACTCTACAATTCTATGATTCTATGAAAGGGGAGTTTTCCCCAGCCCTGGTTGGAATTAGGTTGAAGCTCAGTGGCAGAGCATCTGCCTTTCATTCCAAAGGTCCCAGGTTCAATCCCGGGCATCTCCTGGCGGGGCTGGAAGAAACTCTACAACCCTAGAGAGCCACTGCCAATCATTGTAGACAATGTTGAGTTAGATGCACCAAATGGTCTGACTCGATATAAAACAGCTAACTATGTTCTGCTAACCTGCGAACCTCTTCTTCCACTGATCTACGGCCCTAGAAAATATTAGCACTTGATAAATTGGTCATCTGTTTAGGGTCAGTGTTTCTCCAACAACTCTAAATATAGGAGTCCTAAGCAAGAAAGATAACGTGCCTTGGTCTGTGAATGAAAAGGCAGTGACAACCCAGTTAGAAAGTATATGATCAGTGAGCAGAAGGGCAGTCAAGAGCTTGATCTGCAGTAGAAGACTTAATCATAATCATATACTGTATACTAACAGCAAACTCACTCTCCAAGTGCCAAAACCATGTAGCAAAAAACCATGTCATCCATGAACAAGAGGGAGGTACTGGCAGGCCTAGGTAAACCCATGTATTTTATAAAGGAAACCTCCTAAGGCAGAACTCCGCAAAATAGTCTAATGAAGACTGAGCATTCTGTACTCAGTAGCCACAAAGAGCAAAACATCTGAGGATCTATGCTTATCTTTTCCATCAGGTTGCCTCAGAAGGAAAGCAAGAAAGTTTGTGCTTAAGAAGTTTATCCTGAGCCAAGTAGTGTCATACATGCCCAACTATCAATTCTAACAGACTCTTCCATCCTTCAGCTTCACCTGGAAACAGCCATTTCATCAGGCTGTGGAAGCTAAGGAACAGATTTGAAGCAGGTAGATTCCTACTTTCATTCTACTGCTTCCATTTCAGCTTAAGAAAAAAATGCTCAAATTTGTTTTGTTTTACTCTCCTCTCTCTCAACACTGTTTACTTTTGTGTTGTGTCTTTTAGGTTGCAAGCCCAAAAGCAGGACTGTCTTTTTATTACTGATTTTTGGAAGCCACTCTGAATGTCTTTTGGACTGAAAAAGCAGAGGGGGAAAGCCTGAAATACACACATAAATAAGGAAGCTAAAGCAACAGTCCAGTGACAAGAACACAAGCTAAGTCAGATGGCCCTATAGTGTCCAAACAGGTACAACGACCATTATGGAGATACAGTGATGCTGAATTTCTTAAAACCTTTGCTTCAAATGCACGCAGTGCAGACCTAGTATGTTACTCAAAATATCTCACTGTGTTCAGCTGGGCTTCCTTCCAGGGAGTGTCCATATTTTACCTAGGAGTAGGGGCCACGGAACACAGTGTGCCTTACCTGTGAGCAAACTGTGTATGGTTAGGTTGTTAAGTCTACAAAAGATCAGTCCCAAAGATTGCTTTCCATTTCATTCTGACCAAGCAATCAGCTACCTTTTGCAGTCCCTCCTTCCAACTGCCCCTTTCACAACTCCTCTTTTCCTGGGGTTTCCCCCCTTTCTTCTAGCTAATCTGAACGTAGACTCAACTTCTGCCAGTATGACTGGGGCTGAGGAGACACAGCAGCCCACACTCATTGCAATTCCTCCTTGTGAACCAAAGAACTCTTATTAGAATAAACAAGTTCCGTTTTAAATACTGAAATACTAAATAAGATGGATAACAATGTGTAATACAAAAAGAAGCATGAAATTAGGTTAAAAGTGTGTGAAAGAAAGTAATAGAAGTGGAAAGAAATTGCAATTGAGTAGATTAGAAGTCTAACACAAAGGTGGGGTGAGGGGTGATGGGAAAAGGAATTATCTGTGGGATTGAGTGTAGGTATGTTTGAACATTTTTAAGGATTGTATGAAATGTATGTTTGTATGCTTGTATATTCGCAATATGTGTGTATTAATGCTGAATTATTTTAATAATAAAAACTTTTAAAAAATAAAAAAAAAATCAGAAGGCTTTACCTTCCTCATACCCAGTTCCTTCTTTATGTTGCTTCCATACCCAGCTACTTTCCTTTTAAAACCCCCAACTCCAGCCCCCCCTCTCTTCCAAAAGCCAATCACTCAAATCACTTTCGGTGGGTGCGGGCGGAATGGGCATGACCATCCCGAAACCACTACAAAGGAACCTTAACCCTCTGCTTCGGTTTCCACCACCCCGCAGCTCCTACCATGCACATTCAAACAGGAACCGGAAGTACGGCGCTAATTGTACGTCTCTTCCGCCCCGGTGCTGAGTGCCTAGAGCGGCCACAAACATTGCAAAACCCACGGAGGACCATCTGCTGCGGCGGGAGACCATCAAGCTACGGTATCTGGAGGCGTCAGGGTCAAGGGAAGTGGGGGGCCTGTCGGACTAGAGCCCGGAGGCTTTTGCTTCTGCACCACGACCACGTAGGTGATTGTGTTGCATCGGGAACAGTCGCTTTGCTCGCTCTTAGCTTTGAACAGAATCGTCCCAAACTGCACTTTTGGGGTGCTGTGGTTGTTTGTCCTCATTTCTCCCCTCCCCATAGACTTCTATGCGAGCTTGTCTAGCTTGTAGATAATACGTGCTTTTGGGTGAACCGGTTCTAGTAGTTCGGAAAAGCTTGTGCCACAAAAACTAACAAACACCCAGCTCTTCGGGGCTGTGTCGTTCTTTGCTGCTAACAGCACAAGCCCTGCATTCGTCTGTTCAGAAGTAAGGCGAGGCTGCATATACACGCCATGCATTCGAAGCATGTTTAAATCTCATGCCCTGGAAACCGTAGTTTGTCAATGTGTCAAGTATAGTTTCCAGGATTCTTGTGTGGGTGAGTGATTTAAAGGTACCTCACACAGCCTAAGCCTTTCTAAGAAGCAGTATGTTGTCTGGGTTTGAGGCTGCTATGGCGATTTCGGCAGGGAACAACTTGTCAGCCTTGTGCAGTGAATAGCTCCCTCGGGAGCTATTGTTTGGGTAAATTGTTTTAAGAATTAAAAACCCAAATTATGAATACATAAGTGAATAGGGCCACTGTGCAGATGACTGCAGCTTCATCGTGACCTGCTGCAAGAGAACGTTCTCTGTCAGGAAATGGAAAATTACAGCCTGTACTAGTTGAAGCTTTCAGATAACCGTTGCAGTAACTCCCGTTTGGATGGCATTAATATATTTTGTTATGCTTCATAATTAAGATTTGGACTATTGGAGTGCATTTTAGCAGTCCCTGAATTATTCTGAAATCCTACTTTATCAGATGTGAACAGTAATACATATTCTATACTTTCATTACAGGCTGTTGAAGAATGTTTGTTCCAAGGTCTATTAAAGTCAAGAGGAATGCTGGTGATGAGGGGACTTGTGTAACTAAGAAAAATAAGCCCTCTCCAAGTGAATCCTCACTTGAAAACGTCACAGACTTCCGAGATGCTAAGTCAGATTCAAAAGACATGCCAAGCTCAGAGAGTGACTTGTTTGAACCAATGGAAAGAGACACTGAGGTGCACATCTCTCTGGATTCAGCTGTAGCTCTTCCTGAAGCAACATTGGAAAATGCAAACAATGAGGACTCTTCTCTTGCTGAGGATCCCATAAAATCTTTCAGCAAAATGCAACGTTGGCCACAGCCTGGGGAACCTGTCTGTGTGGTTTGTGGTCGTTATGGGGAATACATCTGTGACAAGACTGACGAAGATGTTTGTAGCTTGGAGTGCAAAGCCAAACACCTTTTACATATCAAAGAGGAAAAGAAAAACTCAAAATCTGCTAGCAGTTGTGAAAAAGCAGAGACTCGGTCCACGTTACTTGATGGTACTTACGTCTATGAAGAGAATCCATTTGTGCTAAGCCTTCAAGAGGAGCAGATTGAAAACTTAAAGCAGCAACTAGGCATTGCTGTTCAAGGTCAAGAAGTTGCAAGACCTATTGTAGAATTTGAACACTGTGGCTTCCCTGAAATTTTAAACACCAATTTGAAAAAATCAGGCTATGAAGTCCCAACTCCTGTCCAAATGCAGATGATCCCAGTTGGATTACTGGGCAGGGATATCATGGCCACTGCTGACACTGGCTCAGGAAAAACTGCTGCTTTCCTGCTTCCTGTTGTAATTAAAGCCTTGGGAGAGGTAAAGTTTAAACCTGCATTTTCAAAAAGCTGTGGGAATTGTGCAGCACACTCCTGTACATGTTTACTTAGAAGTAAATCCCAGTGCATTCAAGGGGATTTCTCTTTGGGAAACTCTGCATTGAATTTCAACCTTAGTTACACTGAGAATTCTAGAGAAATTATTTTTAGCTGTTTGTTTCTTCTTTGAACTTATGTCAGTTGACTTGAAAAAAGTGAATGTTTGGAAAACAGTACAGAATATCTAATATATTCTTTCAGCTTTATATCTGTCAGTTGACCGGATAAACGATACAATTACTGAATCTGTCAATTGTCCTAAAAAGGTCCTCAGTGTCCCTGCTTACACCTGTTGCTCAAGAGTTCAGCTGCAATTCTGCAGTGGGGATCTTTTTATACACATTGAGGCTCCCCATGTGACTTCAAACCCTTTCAGGCTTCTAAATACACAGGCAGCAGCCACAAGTAGAAAAGGTTTTCTGCTGCAGAAATTACAGCTGAACTCTTGAGCAACTGGCACAAGCAGGGGGCAGTGACCTAAAAGCCCTGTCCCACAGCCCCTTTTTCATTTGCTTTACCTCTTCATACGGATAATCACTGAAGAGTGCTCCAGTATTCAGAAATACTCTGTAACAGTTTGTCCACTTACTCTTATTTCTGTACTTAACAGTCTTAGTAGGGTGGGAGTAGATTTCCACAGTTTCTAATGTTACATTGTGACTATTTGCTGTCGTCTCCATTGACATCCGAATGAAAAGGATGTTGTTGAGCTAATCTGATATGAATTACAGTAACTGTTCTCTTATTTTCCCCTAATCTGATACTTTTAATTGAGAATGCAGATTGGCAACTCACAACTTTTTTCCACTTTCTGCTTCAGGCAGAAACCCCATCTGCTCTTATTCTGACGCCAACGAGGGAGTTAGCTATACAGATAGAGAAACAAGCTAAAGAGCTCATGATTGGACTGCCCAACATGAGAACTGTTCTTCTGGTTGGAGGATTGCCATTACCACCTCAGCTTCATCGCCTGAAACAAAATGTTAAGGTAAAACCTGCTGCTGTGATTTTTGGGTTTTTAAAAAAATATATGGCAAAGAACTAGAGGTGATACTGATTTCTTTGTTTAAGGCTTCCAGAACTTCAGCTCTTGTTGAAGAGATTTGGTCTCAAGTCCTTAAAAAATTGCTTGCCACAGTATCAACCATATTGGGCTTTACAATTGGCAAGGGAGGCCTTATTTGCTGTTGGGTGCTGACTCCTTTATAGTGCCTTGCCAGTAATAGTTCCCTGCTTAGGGGATGCCCTCCTTGGTGAGGTGCACCTTTCACCCTCATTAACCTTTAGGTAGAATTCAAAAACATTCCTGTTTACCCAAGTATTTGATGACTGGAAGATACCGGTTCTTGCAGCCTTGAAAGTATTTAGCAGAGAGGATATTTTATTTTATTATTACGGGGGGGGGAGTATTCTTTTTGACCTTTTGTTGTTTTCCACACTGAGTTCTTTTGGGAGGAATGGAAGGATAAAAAACGACAAATAATAATGATGAAGCACTGATCATTGATTTTATTTCTAATGTTGATGTTTTTGCCTCCACCCTCTTTCTGTTAGGTTATGATAGCTACACCAGGAAGGTTGCTAGAAATTCTAAAGCAAAGCTCCGTTCAAGTCCATAATATTAAAATTGTTGTAGTGGATGAAGTAAGTATACATGGTGGGACAAAACACAAAATATATGTGTGAGTGTGCATGCAGGTATTACTTAAATATGAAATAACAATGGCTGAAATGGCTTGATTTCTGTCTGGTGACCACTAGTAGATTTCAAGCACATGCAATGCGTATGTACTTTGGCTAGTGCATGGTATGCTTGGAATACAGTTCAGATGGTGTATTGACCCATTTATGTGTCAGGAAGGAAGAGATGAGAGCACACCTGAGGATTAAGCATCTAGGTCACTTTTTTTGCAAAGTGGGAGCAGCCGCTGCAGACACTAGTGTGCATTTTGGACAGTAGTGAGTTGCTGGCAGGAAAGAGAAGCATAAAGTAGAACTGGAAGGTGCTGCGAATAGGCACAGTGCAGGGTTGGGGAACCTTTTTTCAGGGCTGCATATCCTTTTGAACATCCTTCCAAGGGCTGCATGTGGTGGGCTAGACAAACTCATGGAGGATAAGGCTATCAAAGGCTACTAGTCATGGTGGGAATATAATTTGTCTCCAGGGTCAGAGGCTGCATACCAATTACTGGGGGATGACAGCCAGAGTGGGCTGTTGCTATCATTTCCTGCTTGTAGGCTCCCTAGAGGCTGGCCACTGTAGGAAATGGGATGCTGCACCAAATGATCCAGCAAGGCTGTTCTTCTGACTGTGCTGGCAAAGAAAGTGAATTAATCTTTTATTTCCTCACCTCTGCTCCTACAGTGGAATGTTAATGTTTACTGGTCTGTTTCTCCCACTCTCTCTCTCTCTCTCTCTCTCTCTCTCTCTCTCTCTAACATAGGCTGATACCATGTTAAAGATGGGTTTCCAGCAGCAGGTTTTAGACATTTTGGAAGATATCCCCACAGACCGTCAGACTATTCTGGTGTCTGCCACAATGCCTTTCGGCACTGAACAGCTGGCCAATCGACTTCTGCAAAATCCAGTGAAAATAACCATCGGAGAAAAGAACCAGCCATGTTCCAACGTTCGCCAGATTATCTTGTGGGTAGAAGAACCGTCCAAAAAGAAAAAGCTTTTTGAAATATTAAATGTTAGTATCCTTGGAAGGGAGAACCTGTTGTTTTTCTTCCACAAATTGTGATTCTTTGCAGATTTGGAGGAGAGAAACTGGAAAATGGCTGTTTAACTGATTCAGCTTTGTTCTTGAGAGCTCCCCAGCAGAGAGGCATAAACACGTCCCTGCAATTCAGTTTAGCCAATGCTTTTGTTGAAACTTGTGGAAGAAGAAACAAAATGTTTATTGTTTCAATATTGTTGGTGATATTCATTAGCTTATTACTGCATTTTCAGTACTTTATAATCTGTGATTCTGAGAGGCATTTAAGTAGCCCAGTGTTGACGTGTTTAGAAATAGGCAGGATCCAAAGCATCATGGCTGGGATCCAATGAAAAGTTCCTTTGCAATTCTAACCATCTATACTCAGAATTAAGGTCTATTGAATTCAGTGGACCTTACTCCAGGTAAAGGAGGTTGCGGTAGCAACCCTTACCTATGTTTTTTCTCCAAACAGCAGCCCTAGCATGTTATATGGCAAACTGCTTTTTAAACTGAGGGTTAAAAGCAGTTTGTGATACGGAATAGTGAAAAAGAAAAAGCATCCAGTTCTATTATCCTAGTGCAAGTATATTGTTTATACTCTCATCCTCTTGCCAGAAATAGGATATTTTATTTTGGTAAATACATTGTGCAAGCCACATAGAAATAATCGTGCAAAAGCTGCTGTAATGCTAATATCACTGACGAGATTCCATTTTTAACAGCATTTCAAAGATACCTGCACAATCTACTTTAAACTTGTTAATATTACATAAGCTTGGCAGACTTGGAAGGGCCACGTTACTTTGTTCAGCTCTGCCACCTCCCACAGCTCCCTCAGTTTAGCAATATGTTTAACATTCCAGTACGTACCATACAGAATTCTAGCTGTAGTCATGTGAGACAGCAAAGTTTCCTTCTCATTAGAATTTTTGTTTTATAAAGGTCAACAGGAATGTTCAAAAAAGGGTAACCAAAATGATCAAGTGAGTGGAGCAACTCACTTTGCAGTATTCTGGGCTTTAGAGAAAAACCAAGTAAGAGGTGGCATGATAGAATTGTGTAAGATTATGCATGGCGTGAATAAAGTGGTTGGAGAAATGCTTTTCTCCCTCTCATAATTGTTGAAAGATTCAGGACAGGCAAAACAAAGTACTTATTTATACGGCTCATAGTTAAACTCTGGAATTCGTTCCCACAGCAGACAGTGCTAGCCACCAACTTGGATGGCTTTAAAAGAGGATTAGACAAATTCGAAGAGGTGAAGGCTCTCAGTGGCTACTAGTCACAGTGGCTATGTTTTGCATCTGTGGCTGAAGGCTGTATGCTTCTGAATACCAGTTCCTGGAAACTGCAGGACCTCCTGTGCTCAGGTCCTGCTTACAGCTTCCCACGGGCATCTGACTAATGTAAGAACAGGATATTGGACGAGATGGGCCATTGGCATGAGCAGGCAGACTTCTTATGTTTCTGGGTCTAAGGACAATCTAATATTACTCTGCCTCCAATTCTTACTGATGATTTTTAAAAGCTTCCATGGCTGAGTCAATGAATATTATAATTTAAGTAAAAAAAAAATCTATATTTGCACTCGAAACCATCCCTTAGTTTGATAATAAAGGATATATATCTAAAATGTGAAATTGGGACACGTGTAACATTTTTTAAATTGACATCGTTTCAGTAGAATGTATACACACTAATTAAGAGAAAGAGTTGTAAATGTTGATCATGCAAGACTTTAAATGAGACTTTGCTTTGTTTTAGGATAAGAAACTGTTCAAACCTCCTGTGCTGGTATTTGTAGAATGCAAACTGGGTGCAGATCTCCTGAGTGATGCTGTACATAAAATTACAGGCTTGCAAACAATTTCTATGCATGCTGATAAATCACAGATAGAAAGAACTGCCATATTACAGGTTTGTAGATATCTCTGATGCCCATTTTCTAAAAGATTCCTATTCTTAAGGCCGTAGTCCTGTACACATTTACTTGGGAGTAAGTCCTATTGAACTCTGCTGAATTTACTTCTGAGTAGATGTGTATAGGCTTTTACTGCTGAATTATTTGTGCTTTCTTGCCACATTTTTGAAACAGGTTGCAATTTTCTGTGAATTTCATGAATGCTTTGTATAGGTTCAATCCATCACAATTCTGTTCTATGCAGCATTCTGGATTGCTGCACAGATGCTGCTCTCCAACCAAATTAAGCTGTACTTTGTAAGCAGCAATGCCTCTCTCCATGTGAACCTACCCAGACCCTCAGATCATCATCTGAGATCCTTCTTTGTATTCCTCCTGTACGAGAGGTCCGGAAGGTGGCAACCTAAGAATGGGCCTTTTCTGCAGAGGAATGCTCTCCCTAGGGAGGTTTGGCTGGCGCCTTCATTGTACACCTTTAGGTGCCAGGTTAAAATGTTCCTCTTTGACTAGGCCTTTGGCTGATTAACATCCGATACCCTTTTAAATGTGGCTGTGGGAGAGGGTGGGGGGCTTATTGGTTTGTTTTTGTTTTTTTTATGTATTTTGTGTTTTTTATCTTGTATTTCTATGTTATGAACCGCTCTGAGATCTACAGATTTTAATAAATAGAATCATAGAATTGTAGAGTTGGGAGGGACCATGAGGGTCATCTAGTCCAACCCCCTGCAATGCAGGAATCTTTTTGTCCAACATGGGGCTTGAATCCACAGTCCTGAGATTAAGAGTCTCATGCTCTACAGACTGAGCTTTCCACAGAAGAAATTATTATTATTATTATTATTATTATTATTATTATTATTATTTGCTGACCCTGTTGCCATGCTTATTCTGGGAATTCATCAGTGGTCTGGGAAAATTACTTGATCTGATCCACGTACAAATTTTAGGGCAACAGCCATATTCCATGAGGGTATATTGAAAATAGTGGCCAGCAGGGGGAACAGGGTGCCTGGGGCTTTTAGTGTGCAGTAATATTTATTAGTAAGGCTGGCTTTAGATCAGGGGTGGGGGTCCTGCAGCCAACCAGACAATGTTTGGCTACATTTCCATTAACCATGGAGGCTGTGACTGATGGGAGTCCAACCACATTTGAAGAGCCACAGCTTACCCACCTAGTTTTAGATGCAGTTTATCATTAATGTTTTTAAACATACTTGAACATTCAGAGAAGCAGCTAGACTGACTGTGAGTTCAAGTTCAGAGTATATATCTGAGAGGAGCTAGCTTTTAGTTCTATTTAAATACTTTTAAGTTATTCTTCTTCCTTTTTATTTTTTTGCTTGTTGCCCTGTTGCTCTTTTTTGTTTCCTTTTGAAATATTTTCGGAATTTGGCTTCACTGTGAATTCTGCAGCTTAATTTCCCTTGTTGGAAATCTTGTCTTGTAACTTTTGATTACAAGACAAGCAACAGAATTCTTAATGTTTAATATTTATTTCTAGTTACATCCTGCACCTTAACAACAAGACAATTTTATTTTTTTTTTTTTAAATCATATTTATTAAAGTTTCCAAAAATATAAAAATACAAAGAAAAAAGACAAAAGAAAAAAGATATTTAAAAGCCTTACTTTCATTCCCTACTTTCTGGGACTCCCCCCCTCCCCCAATTGTATTCCCCTTTCCTTAATTTGGTTCTACAAGCTCTCACTCCCAATTTAAAAGCTTAATTTGTTTAACCCACTATCCAGATTGAATTGTACAAATCTTACCACCGTCCCACATCATTAACAGAAAAATAAAAAAAGATTTTCCCCAAGATCCACCCCAATTCCTTCCACAAATTCCCTTTTTTTTAAACAACGTCCGATCAAAATAAAATAACATGCGTAAGTTATGTAAAGAAATAAAAAATAAGAGATATAGAAAAATTCAAAAATGGTTACACAGCCTTTGGATTTCAAATCTCCCCCTTCCCGGTTTGAATTCCCCATGTCCATCAGTCTATACATTATCAGCTTGGAAGTCTCATTTCATGACCAGATTTCTCCCGATTCCATCTTGCCGGTTTTCTTTTAGTTTATTAATTTAAATAATATTTGACTTCAAATGTCCAATCTAACAAAGGCCTTTAATTTCCTTGATCTTTACCACTCCTCCCGTTGTTCTTTCCGTGTCGTAATCAGTCCTTTATTCTTCTTATTCCTCACTTTCTCAGGTTTCTTGTCCTGTTCAGCTGCTAAAACTTTCTAATTCAGAAATCTAGTGTCTCTGCAGAGGTTTGTTATTCAGGAACAAAACTTACGTCCAGTCCCTTTCTTTCTTCAATAAAAATTCCATTGTCTCTGTAGACAAAATACTCTTTCAGTTTTGCAGCTTTCCCAGAAGATAACAAATCCTGTGCGAATCCCAGGGTATTTTTCCACTTACGACCGTTCTTGTAGTATCCCGAAACCCCTCTAGGGGATTGTAATAACTTTGTATCCTCTAATCCAAAAGTCAAATTGTTGCTTATTTTCCAACAGTTTATATCCATATTATAGCAAATTGTAACAAAATTAACCAGCAAGATCCTCATAAAGTCCTCTTTATATTCTCCAGCTTTGACAGCCACTTTGACAGCTGTCAAAGTCTCCGTCTCTCTTCACCAGGCTCCACGAATCGCCCCGGTTCCCAGGGGGGGGGGTTGCATTTTTCTTCTCACCCTCCACTCTTCTCCTCCAGCACATTTCTTATAATTTCCCATCGTGAAATTAATGATTTTTATCAGAGACATACTTCCCTTTGGACCTTGGTTACCCAGTCCTTGTTTTGGAATGCTTACAATAGGGGGATTGACTTCCTTTTAAATCGCCCCGCTCGTGCCAAATCCAAAATTTTGAACCCGGTTTCCCAATTACTCACGGGTTGTTGTTAATAGTCCAAATTTTCAATAGAAGAAGTCAGCGCTCTCCGTCGAATGGCATGCGGCTGCGCTCGGCAGGAAAGCAGTGGACTCAAAGCACCACGCCACTCCCCGGCACCCGATCCGAAGCCTTTAAAAGGCTCCTTCACGAGTCGGGAGGGCGCTAATGGTGCAAGCCGAGTCACCCATGTCCACGGACTCCGTGCCCGTGGTTTTTAAGGGTCCCCGCGTCGCCGGCGCGGTAGGACCCAGCCCCTGCCGAGCAGACTCCCTCCGGAGCTCGGAGGGAGTCCGCCATTCGGCGATGGCGCTAACCCGAAAGTCAACAACAAGACAATTTTAAGGAAGCTGAAATAATGTTTCTATATGCTTTGCATTAGGGATTATTTCAAGGCAAGTATGAAGTTGTAGTAAGCACTGGAGTCCTGGGACGTGGACTTGACCTTGTCAACGTTAAGCTGGTCGTGAATTTTGACATGCCATCAAGTATGGATGAATACGTACACCAGGTAAATATACTTTTCTGCTGTACTATTTAATTTAATAGTTATTGGTTGTATTTTAGCTCTATAAGCTCTGTGAGAAGCATACAAAATAATGGAAAAATATTTTATTATAAATGGTTAACACTGCTACTCTTCAGCAGCCTCAGGTGGAATGACTGGTTGCTCATCAGAGTTTCCAGAAGGGCCAGAAAGTAGCAGAATCTGCTACTTGAGATAAGAGAGGGAGGTTTTCTTACTGTACAGAAACTAAACTTTGATTGTAAACTTTGATAATATGAGGATTACAGCTACCTGAGGGATTCTTTTGGTTTCATGAGACAGATAATTGGGCCAAATTTAAATACAGTTGTTTATTTTTAGGTTGGAAGAGCAGGTCGGCTGGGTCACAGTGGAACTGCAATCACTTTTGTGAATAACAGCAGCAAGAAACTTTTCTGGGATGTTGTGAAGCGTGTTAAACCAACTGGCACTATTCTCCCACCCCAGTTATTAAATTCTCCATATCTACATGACCAGAAGAGGAAAGAACAGCAGCGAAGTAAACAATCTCAGAATGGCCTTGTAACGAGTGACAATCTTATGGACGTTATTAGAAAACACAGCAAAAGCTCTTCTCAGAAGTAACAAGTGATACTGTCCTTCTAAATACAACTGTTTTGTACAACTTGTATGACTAAGTGATGAATTTTTAACTTTGGAGGCATAATCTAACCAAATTTTAGCAGTTTGAAGCCTTACTGATTTTGTTCGTAGAGTTAAAGCAAAAGCTTAATATTTTTCCTTGAAATTTAATGGGCCTTCTGCAAGGTTATTAGCCTGAAAGAGTGACTTAAGTCGTCCAGCAAGCTTTGTTATGAGAATGCTTTTATACTTCATATTTTGTACTCAGTATTAAGTAGTAAAGTACGTAGCATCATGAACTTTAAACGGAATATGCACATCTTAAAGATCTGGGTTTCCCTTGCAAGAAATGTAACATGTAATTCACTGTTATATAATAATAATAATAATAATTTTTATTTATACCCTGCCCTCCCCAGCCAAGGCCGGGCTCAGAGCGGCTTACAAGCAATGATAAAAACAAATTGAATGATTACAACTTAAAAACAAAATTAAAATACAACATTAAAATATGGAAACATTAAAATATTAAAATGTAGCCTCATCGCAGGAAGAGAAGGAAAGGAAAAAAGAAAGAAAGGGAGGGAGGGAGGGAATCAAATTGGCTCCAAGCCAAAGGCCAGGCGGAACAACTCTGTCTTACAGGCCCTTGCTATGGGACCCTAAGCAGCATACATGTGGCAACTGGTTAGCCTCCCATCCAGTTACCATCCAGTAACCCAAAAGGTTGTTGTCTCATGTCATTGCAGAGGACAAGTATGATGATGAGACCAGAGCAACCTGAGTTGGTTATAGCGTTCCATAAAGATGGTTACTGGGCACTCAGACCCTTTTAGTTCAGGCAACCAGAATGACCAGTACTGAGCACAGCAAGGGTGAAAGAGTTGATTCCGGATGCTCTGCACCTCTTTAAATTTAGACCTTGTCCAACTAAGGGAGGTTAGCCATGTGCCTGACAAGCAGAGGTGCTGTGGGTATGTGAGATTCCAGTCTCTTCTGAGTTTGTTTGCTGTGGTGGTTGGCAAGAGAGTATTGGAGGCATTGAGGAATGACCAAAAGGAGGACCAAGGAAAGAATAAGAAAGAGGAGACTCAAGTAATCTGCCTTGGTAGTCACACCCACCTTGTGGAACGCCCTCCCATCAGATGTCAAGGAAATAAACAACTATTTGACTTTTAGAAGACATTTGAAGGCAGCCATGTTTAGGGAAGTTTTTAATTTTTGATGTTGTGTTGTGTTTTAATAAGTTGGAAGCAGCCAAGAGTGGCTGGGGGAGCCCCGTCAGATGGGCGGCAAATAAATATTTTATTATTATTATTATTATTATTATTATTATTATTAAAGTCTAACTGTTAGGAAGATCAGCTAAAATATCCCCCTTTGTAGCCCAGAGGCTTTCTGGGGAAACTGAAGTATAGCTGGATACTTGAAGATCACTTTCCAGTCAGCCCAGTACTATCCATGGTAAAAATAGGGCCAAAAATCATTAAAAAAAAAAATACAAGACCATGAAGAATTTATAATACTGGCTTAGATGGTCTGAGCTGCTATAAAGCAATTTCACATGAAGTGTTCCTTATTTCCCTGCCCCTGTTTCAAATACAAATCTCTTTAACTTTTTTAAATAAAAAAATGTTGGTCACATGGAAGTCCTAATTCAACTGGTCAAATGACATAAACTCTCATCTATGAAACCTCATCCCACAAAAAAAGTGTTAGGTCCTGCTTTTTACAAAATACTCTAATTCTTCTCTTTTGTGATACATTTTTTTCAGATGAGAAATTAATATTTTTTTAATAAAATATTTTAAATTAAAGTTTTCAGGTTTTACATTTCTACATTAGCATCCTTCATTATACCCATACATTCAATGACTTCCCTCCTTCCTCTTCCAAGTTTTTTTATTTATTTATCCATAATTCTTGCATATTCTTGTATATCCATCTAAATCAGTTTTTCCCCATTTTACACCCTTCCCCAAATTCACCCTGTTGAATTTACCTTGATACTACCAGGGTTTTCTACTGTGTACAATTATTTTCCACATACTCAGCAAAAAAGTTCCACTCCTCTTTAAATACCTGTTCTTCTTGCTCTCTTATTTTACTTAGACCTGCTAACTCTGCATATTCTTTCACCTTAAATTGCCACTGACCCTCCATTTTGGGGCTAACAAAATCTGGGCCACTGTTGTCACATACCTGGGTACCTCCTTCTGAACCATTCCAAACAGGAATGCCTTGGGGGTTTCCAGCACAAATCAGATTCCGATTTGTACATCTTAGCTAATCGGCTCAATGTTAAATACCATCTATGAATCAATTTCATATAATTTTCCTTCAAATAAATTAAATTTGGACACTTAATTGGTTTAAATAAATGCTTTCCCTACATTTTGGGGGTCTTTTTTTTAGCAGAAAATGTCCATTGTTCTATTTTTAAAAATGGCAGGGCAAAGCTGAAGAGGTTTGGAACAAATGGCAGCTTGAAAATGAAAATGCGTTTATTAACCAAGATGAAACATGGCTTGCTTCATTCATATGTAACTTCTTTCAGTTTCAGTCAGATTTAATCTGTAAATCAGATTAATGCAGACAATATTGTTGAATGATCATAGTGAGATATATATATATACACACACACACACACACACACACACACCCACCCGGTATATATTTGGTACAGCATACTCTAGTAGGGACTTTAATAATGCATATGAAATTGGTATCCAGGTTAATTTGGTTATCTTGTTCTTGATCATATGTTCACCTTTTGTGTTTTATATGTAGAACATAATACAAAGTAAAGACAACAAGAGTAATGAAACATAGGAGGAACCAAAATGGTAGTAGACCTAGGCCTGTAGCAGAAAGGAGACGATCATATTCCAAGAGCTCTTCTGTATGTTTAGACTAGAGGTGCCAACTTGAATAAAATATTAGAAGGGGGGGCGCAAGGAAGTCCTATCCCGCATAATCACATGACGTGGTGCATGGACACCATTTGAATGGCAATGCCCATCAACTTTAGGGGCCCAGTCCCCTCAAATGTTTTATTGGGAGGGGGGGGCAAAGGGATCTCAGTTCCTAGAAGTTTGCTCCTATGGTTTAGACTTTATTTTTTGAATTTATATTCTTCCCAAAAGGAACCCAGGGTGGCAAACACATTTTTACTGAAACCATGCAATTAAAAATAAAACCTTAAACATCTGAAAGCATACCTAAAACTGCTTTTGGTATAGCCAGACATTAACCCTAGGTGAGAACTAGTCTAAATGGCAAATTGGGTAGATGCTGTCAACAGTACGTAGCAATTTCAAGAAAAGTGAGCAGCGCAGCAGGTGTGACTTTTACTTTTGTATAGTAGGCTATGTTCAGCTCTGCAAAAGTTCAGGTTTCTACAGACCTTTCCATTCAGGCGAGCAAGAGGTGTCATCACAATTCAAGGTCACATTCCAGCCAGGCCAAAACACTTGAGAAGGGTGGGGAGCAGGGCTGCACAATGGGTGTGGCCTGGGGGTGTGTGCCTCAGGGTCACATTCAGCCTTCTGGAAGAAGGTACAGGGTTATAAAGACTAGGCCTGAGAAACAGTTTTTAGCCAAACGTGATTTTGGTTTTAAACGCAGTGTAAGGTAGTCTCTGGGACGGGGGTGGCGCTGTGGGTTAAACCACAGAGCCTAGGACTTGCCGATCAGAAGGTCGGTGGTTCAAATCCCCGTGATGGGGTGAGCTCCTGTTGCTCAGTCCCTGCTCCTGCCAACCTAGCAGTTCAAAAGCACATCAAAATGCAAGTAGATAAATAGGTACCACTCCGGCGGGAAAGTAAACAGTGTTTCCGTGTGCTGCTCTGGTTCGCCAGAAGCGGCTTAGTCATGCTGGCCACATGACCCGGAAGTTGTACGCCGGCTCCCTCGGCCTATAGAGCGAGATGAGCGCCTCAACCCCAGAGTTGGTCACGACTGGACCTCATGGTCAGGGGTCCCTTTACCTTTAAGGTAGTCTCTGGGAGTATATTGTATTTAATTATGGGGTACCAGAGTTTTTAGGGGGTTAACCAGGCTGGGATAGCAGGCTTGTTGGTTTTGAATGTCTGATGTAGATTTTTTTCAATTTCATTGTTCTGTATGGGACAATGGCAATAAAGATGTATGTATCGTATCTTGAGACCGAGGTTACTCAACCCTGCTGTGAGGTCAGGAGTTACCATTATAATTATTTATAAAAATTTGTATACCTCCCTTCATCCCAATATCACACAGCGGTTCACAACATACAAATACATACCGAGAACACATGAGCTAACTAGCTTGACAGTGAGTAGTAGTCACTTCCCTCTGGAAGTGGATAAGAAGTTCCACACTGCTAAGTTGTAGCTCATTGGTGAGCTTTGCAAGACATGATCTCTGCCCAAAAGGAAAAGTTCCCACATTTGGGCATTCCAACATCACTTGCTGGGAGTGCTGATGCAGGCAAGCTGCTACCTCAACCAACTTTCTGTCTTCTCATATTAAGAGTCACAAAGCGAACTGGACTCCTTGGCAGGTTTTGAATAAACATTCACAAACTTTTTATTGATAATAATCAGCTAAATAGTTTGAGGATCTATGCAACTTTGTAACATGCAGAAAACAGCATTCTCAGAGAAACCAAAGACAGGATCTGAGGGAAGCCGGGTGGGGGTGGGTGGGTTTTGTGTGGGAGGGTGGGGGGAGGGAGGAAAAATGGGGGGGGGGGAAATAAGGATGATATGTTTTTGGATAATAGGTTTTGTTTTAATTTTGAATAATTTTTTTTTAAAAGAGTCACGACAGGATTTTGAGGAGTACTAGGAGGTACCAGCAAAGGGTGGAAAAACCCGACTGAATAGCTGTACGTGCTGTGTCTGAAAGGTTTGGCTGCATGTTGGTTTGGGCTGCCCTGGGCAAGTGACCGACAAACTTAATAAATAAAATTTAATAATAATCTCAGCAGGAAAAACTGAACTGAAAACAAGAAGACTTTCCGTAATGGAGACACAAACAGCACCCGCATCTAGTATCATTTAGTTGAGATTGCATTTCAGGGGGTTGGACTAGATGACCCTTGGGATCTTTTCCTGAAATTCTATAATTTAAGAATGGTTAGATTTGCAAGCACGAACGGTACTTCTTTCCCCCCACCCCCCTTGCTCCTCCCGGTCTATTAGTGTGGCGGCCTTCCGTTTAATGCTCTTCCCACTAAGAAAGGAGCGGAGTCTCCATTTAAACGCCACCCACACGCTCTGCAAAAGCCGACGGCGCCCTGCCGCCTTCTCCCGCGCATCCGTCACCCCGCAAATGGCCGCAGCTCCGTTGAGAACCGGAGATGTCACGAGCAGCCTCGCTTGCTCCGGCTTCCCTCTCGGAACTGCGTGTGACATCACCCTCCGTCTCAACCAATAGCAGGCGGCGGCGCCGCATTCGAATGGGGAGTTTAGGAGGCGCCGCAGGAGGGCGGGCTGTTGGTCGATCTCCTGAGGACAGGTGAGTCTCTGGACAGGTATCCTTCCTGGACAGGCATCAGCTGGCTCCGAGAGGTCAGGCCGTCCTTTCCCCCCTGGGCTTCCTGCTTTAAAAATGCGGGACGTGTGGCTTTTTTGGTGGCGGAGAGGGTTGGTCTTCTGCTTCCTGCAGTCTAGTCTCTGTTTAAGGAAGGGGCTCCTTTGCTTCTGCCTACTATTTGATGCGGAGGGAGGACGCTATTCTTGCAGGGACCAAAAGCTAAGCAACGTTTACTTCAACGGATATTCTTAATAGGTGCTCTTCCGCCCCGCCCGAAGGCACAAACACTGTGCAGCCCCAAAGGCTTGCTTTTAATCCTTCTCTTAAACTTCAAGCCAGATATTTCCTGGTCACATTCACTAACCGATTATAAAATTCCCACCGCACCCTGAAATGGAAGAAATATTCACTCTATACACAGACTTCTCTACCAGGTGGAAAGTAGTCATTCTCTCTACATACGCTGCTTTTCTTTCCCAATGCTTACTTAAGGTGGCTTTATAGTTTTAAAACAACAGTAACAAACAACACACACACAAATTGTATCTTCCTGTTTCAGCTCCCTGCCTTGTTGATACCTGCAGCAAGCATTAGTATCACCAGAAAGAAGTTGGCTGATGGAATTTGCTAGCTTCCCACCTCTCACCTGCAAATTAAGTGTCAGTAGCTAAGCTGAAATGTCTTCCACCACTTCACTTGGCCAATACTTACTCCACTTTGCACTAACCCCTCCCCCCGCAGCAGCTGAGGCTGAATATGAACAGGATTTGTATAAGTTTTGAGGTGGAGAACCAGAATTGGACTGATGTCTGGACGTGGGCAGGAAGAAAATGGGTTCCTCTTGGCAGCTTGACACCCGCTTTCTCTGGGTAGAGGATTTACATGAGATGGGCAGGAAAATGTTATTTCCCTTTGGCAACAATATTGCCAAGTAATGGCAAAGGCTGGGTGGGGTTAGAGATCAGTGACAGATATTTTAGTAATGCTGTCTATGGACTTCTGCTTCAGACGCAGACCCTGGGAATTTCCTCCCCTCCAGCACCAACTGTCAAACACTGATTTAAAGTGATGAAAAAGACCTATGTAAATAATGGCTTTAAATCAAACGATTATCTTAAAATGTTGAGTGATGTAGTTCGTGTGCCTTTTTTGCACTGTATTATATATACTTAGAAGTAAGAGGCAATGTAACAATGGCTTTCTGTATGCATACAAGGAAACCAAGCAAGGTAAGATGTCAAAGATCAAGATTCCTATGTTCTGCATTGTAAGCCAAGTACTCTGAACCCTCTTGAACAAGTTATGTTAATGACTGAGCAAAACAATTATCCATGAGATGGAAAGATGCTGTTGTGTTTTTAATTCTAAATATTCATAATTTGCTGCAATACATGTAATATATGAAAGTAAGTAAACTATTTTGTTTCCATTTATCCACCTTTACCATAGAAAGGTAGGGATAAATTCAGTTGTCTTTGACAGAGTGATAATTAACTGAGTTTTAAGAGAAGTATAAAATTAATCACTTAAGTTATTTTTTAAATGTGGCATTTTGTGTAAATTGAAGTTTAAACAAAATGAATTTGATGCTAAAATATCATTTAAAAATCTGTTTAAAGTAATTATTTTAAATGTTGATTTATCCATCCTACAAGGAAGACTTTACCTTCAGCATAGGTATGGAAATAGGGTCTAGTATATTACCAGCATGACAGTAGTTGAGTATAAATAGAAAATAATAAAGGCTTCTTTTTTTTTAACAGATCCCATAGTGATACATTCTGTGCTGTAGAGAAAATAAGATTACAAGTCAAGTATACTCTTCAGGAAGAGCTTGTATGATAGTTTCAGTCCTGCAGTTGCAGCTTGCTTTAGGTCTCAATGCCTATTTATATTGTTCCTAAGAAAAGCGATATTAGTGCACCTGGTGGTTCTTCACAAAAGCATCCTCCAGAAAATGTCATTGCTAGAAACAGGTTTGCACAGACATTTACATCCCACACACTGGAGAATGAGGGATGCAATCCTCAGTCACAGCCCTTGAGTAAGACCAAAGAAATAAATACGACCTATGTGCTTTCAGCCTGTAACAAACTGGCTGACACTTCAGCTGCTTCCACGACTGAAGGCAAGCTGACACTCCAAAGAAGAACTGTGACGAGCAAAGAACAATCTGATACAAATACAACACATGACAGTGAAAATACACGAGTGGAAAAAAGATTGACGCTGCAGCGCCGAACAAGGACTGAATCAACTGAGAAGCACAAAACAAATATTCACGAAGCCAGAGCAGAAAAAGGAGACCCTCTTCCCCAGAAGAGTGGCAAAACATTGTTTCCACCAAAAATTAGCAGCAGTGACCCTCCATTTGTTAAGACTGGCCTTTTGTCACTTCAAGGTCTCACAGATGGAAAGAGAAATCCTGTTATGAAAAGTGATGTACCTTTTAATCATAATGGTTCAAGTGCTACTGGTGGCTACACACCTTTAAGATGCAAGACAGTTGTTGGTGATTCTCAGAATAAAAACAAAGTTCCTAGACCATCACTCTTAACAGTAGGAAAACTTGATGAAAGGACGTCTATATTAAAACTAGCTGAAAAGCGTAATTCCAGTAAGGAAAATGGAACTGAAAGTCTGCAAAATAGATTTATTAAGAATGAAAATCTGGAAAAGCAGAAGACACCAAGGAAAGGGTCAACAGAAGGAATGAAATTCACCTCCAGATGTGGAGCTGTTCAGCATGCCAAGACTCCTGCTGCCCCAAGCATAAAGAATAAGATTCTGTGTCCTCAAACAATATCAGCCAAGAAATCTGGTACTAATGAATTTACCCTAAATAGAAGGTTGCAAGAAAATACCACGTATACTCAACAAACAGCTTCGCAGAAAGAAGATACTCTAATGCAGAACATATGTGGTAAAGAAGACCCTTTCAAAATAGAAAACAGCAAAGTGACTGTAGCTGTGAGAATACGACCTTTTAGTGTCAGGTATATAACCATTATTTTTTTGGACTAATTATGAAATTATACAAGTTGTTACCATGATATTGAATAGTATAACATGCTCTCCAACCACTTAGATATATTACCCAGTTTAATTTCTGTTGTGTCTGTATACAAACTGCTGCGCTTCTCTTTAATTCCATTGTCCACTTTATAAGGGATCTGTGTGTTCTAACTAGGGCTGAGACAATTTAACAACTCTATGAAATAAATAAAATGGGATGATAGTTGATACTTCTTTAGCTCAGTAGCCCACCTTGCAAGGGAAGCTAATCCAATTCCCTTTGCATAATTCCTCCTGGACTCCATTTTAATAAACCTCAGATTTTGGGGGCAAGAGTATAGTCATATCCAGCACTGTTGTTCCCTTGTGCAGCAGACTTCTAGTTGCACAACAGAACTTGTCATTCCTCTTTCCTGCAGCCCACCATGCAATCACAAAATCTGCTCCAGGGGGTTGAAGGACCCTCTGGAGCACAATTTGAGGGCTCACTCAAGAGGACAGGAAGGGGAAGTCCTGTTGCAAAAGTGGAACTCTGCATGCACAGTAATGTCCAGCTTTTTGTCCCCCTGTATATTTTTTTTAAAGAAATGCTATGCAGCACAGTGGCTTTTGAATTTTTTATCGGTCTTCTGATTTTTAGGCAACAGATCTGCAGATGCTAGCTTTGCATTTTAGAAACTGGGCACTTGCCATGGAGTTTATATTAGTAGTTAATTTAGTCTTTGATCTTGGAACTATATGTTTTATAAATATATAAATTATTTTCTTTGGCTGTTTTACTGTAATCCTGGATTTCAACAAGTCCTATGGATTTTGGTGTTTGTTGCACATGTTAGCATTGGATCCTAAACAGTATATTTATGAATTATTTTGATCTAGGTGTATTTTGTACATTAGTTCTATGAATGCCTGATGTAGTATACTGAACTTCAATACAGTCTATCTCTATGCTGACATTTTACATATAATGAAATTTTTAAAACTTTTAAGAAGATTCATATAGAAAATTCATATGGCTGGTGCACAATTAACCTGAAGACTGTCACATATTATAATGATTTAGTTACAACATCAATTAGACAATTTAGATTAAATTTGGTTTATAAGATCAGTTACAAACCTGAATGTGTTCAGTGTTTTGTCGTCCCTCACCCCCTATAACTAACATTTATTTTGTGCCTTTATTCAGAGATAAGAATGAAGAAACATTACAAGTGGTTTCCATGACAGGGCAAGAGACTGTTGTGCACCATCCAAATACAAAACAAATCTACAGTTTCACTTTTGACTTCTCATTCTGGTCTTTTGATAAATGTCATAATTTTGCAAGCCAAGAGATGGTGTATCAGTCTCTGGCAGTACCTCTCCTAGAAAGAGCCTTTGAAGGATACAACACCTGCCTTTTTGCATATGGACAGACTGGTTCTGGAAAGTCATACACGTAAGTTGGATTGGAAGTGTTCCTTTTCTGTTGCTGTTGCTGACACCCAATACATGTCGTATCCAGATGCTTTTTTGTTGTATGTTTGTTTCTTAAGTGAATGAGATTATTATTGAAACGGAAGACTGACTTGAATGAAGCCAAACTAACAGTACAGAGAACATTTTATTTAAATCTCTCTGAAGAAAATTATGTTAAGTGAATGGAGATGTTTTAAACAGAAAAACCACCTATCTTCAGGACTGTTATTATCTAGTACTTTAGGGTAACAGTAACTAATAGACTAAGATCCGAAGCAGGGATTTCCTTGTTCAGATCTCATGTATGCTAAGGGTACCTGATGTCCCCGTTTCCCGCAGACAGTCCCCGGATTTAAAAAAACAGTCCCCTGACAAAATCCTATCATTCCTACTGAAGTTGAAAAGTGTCCCTGGATTCATTGAAAAAAATCCGGTAACCTTAATGTATGCTGATAACTCACTAGGCTCATAGGAAGCTGTTTTATACCAAGACAGACCATTCCAGTGTTTCCCAAACTAGCTGGAAATCTGGAAAACTAGTCTAGCTGTTTTTGGACTACAGTTCCCATTATCCATGACCACTGGTCCTACTAGCCAGGGATGATGGGAGTTGTAGTCCAAAAACAGCTGGAGACCCAAGTTTGGGAAACGCTGATCTAGCCTAATAATGTCTACTACTGACAGCAGCTCTCCAGGGTTTCAGGCAAAGTATCTCCCTCAGCCCAACCACAAGATGCCTGTTTGAACCTGGGATCTTTTGCATGCAAGGCAGTGGCTCTACCGAACTTCATTTTACCTTCAGTAAAATGGTGACAGTAATGTTGGCCTACCTGGCAGGGTTGTTGGAATAATGGCTGAGATGACACTTGTGAAGTGTGTAGAAAGTTCAAGATAAACGTGAGGTATTATTATAAATAATATGGATCTAATATCTTCTCCTAGCAACTCTGTGTTGTGAACTGCCCTGAGATTTGCAGATGAAGTGGTACAAAAATGTAATAAATAAAATAATTAACATGGAGTTAGGTGACCAGAAGCCACACGATAGCCAAAGCTTGCCATATGGCGTGTGGATTGTCTCATCTTCAAACCATGCAGTTAAGAACACCATAGTCACCTTTCCTAGCTAATCCGTTTTAAGAATCTTACTAGATTTTACAATATTATGCAGAAATTTTCTTCTAGTTGTCTTTTAAAACTGGTACTCCCTCTATATCAATGCCTCATTAGGAAGTGTGAACGTCGTATTCTGCAGAGTTGTAACCCAAGCCTATAATTGCAATATTTGTCATTACAGTATGATGGGATTTGATGATGACGAAAGAGGAATAATACCAAGATTCTGTGAAGATCTCTTTACTCAAATAGCAGAAAAAGAAATGCAACAGGTATTGTTGCAGCATTACTTTTCTTTCTGAACTTATTGAGGCTGCTCCAATTTATTTGGGAGTACATGGAACCACCTTTGGGTTCACTTTTGGGCATCACTGTTGTGGAGGCACTGTTAATGTGAATCAACACTTCCACATAGACGCACTACATGTGATTGCAATGATTTCCATGGTGGCAGCAGTGCTTTTTCGGAAGTATCCTGCAACAATTGCATGGGCGTTTTGTGAACTGGGTGATAAATGCTGTTGAGCTGATTGGCTCAATGCTTTTCTCGAGGGCAGGCATGTGGAGGGGTACAGAATAGTACTATATATATATATATATATATATATATATAACCGGTATTCCCTCAGAAGTGATTGAACTGGGTAAAAGCCGACCCTGAAATTTGCCCCATCCTTGTGGCTGCTTCATTCAACCCATACTCACCAGCAGGGTGGGATTTCATCACAGCTTCCATGTGGCTGTGTGTAGGAAGCAAATTACCAGAGCAACATATTTCTATAGTACTTGATATTCCTGTAGTTTTGGGGTGTCTTTTTTTTTTTACCATAAAATAAAACCAGAAATCAATATGTACAGACTACAGCTCCTCTGCTGGCTAGCAAGGCTGATCTTACACCTTAATAACTGTTGATATATTCTATTGTTGTACTGTGTTTCTTGGGTGTACGGGCAGCAATAAAGCTGTTGCTTTTTTTTAATTAGACTGATTTTCATCTTGAGATGAGCTATTTTGAAGTCTACAATGAAAAAATTCATGACTTGCTAGTCTACAAAGCTGAAAATGGACAGAAGAAACAGCCTGTAAGTAACTAATTACGTTCTGCATATTGACGTATTGTCAATATGGATTAGGATGCCAATGTCACTGCTGTTCTGGGGTCCCAGATTAGCAAACACTGAGTTGGAGAAGTTTCAGTCCTTCTACTTATGGTTAATAACTTGTTAGATAGTTCCATAAATGTGCTCTAAATCTCTGAAGCTTTTAAAGCTGATCAACACTGACTTTTCTGATTAACAGCTTCGTGTGAGAGAACATCCTATCTTTGGACCCTATGTGGAAGACCTGACTGTGTAAGATTTCATTTTATGATTTCTTTCTACAAATGTCTGTTTGCTGACTTAAAATGGACCTACAGTGGTACCTCGGGTTAAGTACTGAATTCGTTCTGGAGGTCCGCTCTTAACCTGAAACTGTTCTTAACCTGAAGCACCACTTTAGCTAATGGGGCCTCCTGCTGCCGCTGCGCCGCCAGAGCACGATTTCTGTTCTCATCCTGAAGCAAAGTTCTTAACCTGAAACACTATTTCTGGGTTAGCGGAATCTGTAACCTGAAGCGTATGTAACCCGAGGTACCACTGTATTAGTTATTCACATAACAAGAAGCCTGCAGTCAAGGAAATTGTTGGGTTTTTCAAACAAATTGTGAAATTAAGCCCCAAACAAACTGGCTATTGACACTACTTTTTCACAGTATCATTTCTCATTAATTCCCTGTCCCTCAGTTCTCTGCTTTTCCCCAGAATGCAGTTTCCTCCACCTACTGTCCTCTCAGACACGTTTCTGTTCCATTGCCTGTCCTCCAGCCTTCCTCCAGCCCCACTTCCCCTTCATTTTCTTACTTAGTTTTTTGGTCCTTAATCTGCCCCATGCAAACAATTCTCCTCTTCTGTCTTCTATTAATCTCAAAGATATAGTTTGCCCATTTCTTACAGATGGGTAACTACAAATGTTCTGATGCTAACCATTCTCACATTCTGTAACACCACCTCAATCATACTGGAGGTGTCGCCAACACAAGCAAAATATAATAATGATTCTCTTGTAAACTCTGTTGAGCCTATAATAAAGTGTGGGTTTTCATTCCTTCAGGTGTACAGACTTGGACCATAATACTGCTAGAATTGTGTAGTAAATCCATAATTTCTGAGGTATCTGTAGGCTTCATTGAAGCTTCTTGATGAATAATTGTAAGCTGAATGGTTTGTAGGACTGGGTCTGTGTTTATATGTGTAGAACTTGGTTTTTCCCCCTTCACAAGAGATAAAAATTATTATTTTTCTTCTAGGAATGTTGTTGGCTCTTACTTGGATATTCAGGTAAGGTTGTTGTTGTATGTATCAAAGCACGAGACTTAAAAATCACATGTTGTCAGGGAACTGCCATCAGTGCCGGAGGGAGAGAGAGAGCCCCAGAGGGATCCCAGAGAGCGTCACGGGATTGGGAGAGGCAGCCCATCTTCTGGGGAAGGGAATCAGCCCAGCTCCAGTAGAGAAGGGGGGCAGATGGGGGAATCTGAGAGGGAGTCACAGGACTCCTTGCCTGGGACCAGCGGGGGGAGGAAGGGTCCTCCGCTGCCTACGCCTTCCTTGCGCAGAAGGCTTCCGCGCAGGGAAAGTAGGAGGCAACTGGGCGTGAAAGAACTTCTTTGCTGGAAGAAGTTTAAGAAATGCCCACTGACGGATTCTGCCAGCGATTGAGACAGCCACGGGTGAGTGGCTGTCCGGACAGAAAAGGTTCACTTAGGCAACCCAGCCAGGTATGGGCACCGGCTTACACACGAGCAACCCCTTGAACCACTACACATGTAAAACTGATTTATAGTTTTCAGTGATGGCAAATAAGAGATTATACAGTAATTGAATTCTTCCACACAAATAAGTATTGAAATAGTTGAACTGGCAATCTTTGTGGTAGATCCTTGTACTGACAGAAAATTACCGTATTTTTCGCTCTATAACACGCACCCGACCATAACACGCACGTAGTTTTTAGAGGAGGAAAATCCGTAGCCATGCCACCCATAGGCATTCCCTCCATAACACGCGCAGACATTTCCCCTTACTTTTTAGGAGGAAAAAAGTGAGTGTTATGGTGCAAAAAATACGGTACTTGCAGGATTAAAATTTCTCCTTTTACCCATTTCTCCAGAGCTCCTGTGAGAAATTGTAAAAACGTTTGTTTTAATTTATAGTATGTTTAATTGTCTGATGTATATCTCTTAATGATAGAAGTTTCATTTAAATATAAACAACATGAAAAGCCACCAACCAATTCTGCCATAAAATCAATGTTACCAATATAGTTGGTAACTGTTGCAGCTCAGATAAAAATGTCTACTCCAAAATAATGAGGACTTGGGTAAGCTTTTGGGTAGTGATTTGGCCATTTCTTCACACTTAGTGGAGTGTGCAGAATTGTGCCATAAAGGACAGTATAGCCCCTTGCTTCCCCAGTGACTTCCTGTCAGGTGTGTAGTGTTACAGAAAATCTTAAGTATTCCAAGGTGAGACCTCCCACACCTGTGCTGGAAGCATCTAGCTTCTTGCCATCCCCCAGGATCCTGACAGGTAAGATACTGCTGGAAAGAAACAGGAGCACAGCCACATGCAGGTACCTGCATACAAAGACACAATATATGGCAAGCAAAGTACAATGAATGTGTTTGTCACAATGTACCCGCTATTACAAGACATGTGGTACGTACAAGCAGTCCTCCAGAATCATCAAAATAAGTACAATTAATGATATATTTTCATTATATCCAGCACACGGAAATTATTGGAAGCAGCAGAGCTGCTGTAGCAAACAGGACTGGAGCCTGGTGATCCCAGTTTCAAAGAGAAACTCCTTCTTCAGCCTGTGAAGTTAACAAGGTCCCACATCGGGTACAAGGTGGGGCAGCTGCCGTGTGCTGGCTAGCTGCCTCTTCGAAACTGGGATCACTGGGCTCCAGTCATGTTTGCTACAGCTGCTTTGTACTTTGCTTGCCATATATTGTGTCTCTGTATACTAGCTTGAACCCCAGTTTTTTTCTTTTTTGAAAGAACACTTGTAATCTTAAGGACAATGTTTAAAATTGGAAATATTTAAGGATAAGAAAATTATAGACATGTACTATATAAGAAATTATAAAAGAACCGGGGGAGGGAATAGAGGGAAGTCAAGGGATCTGAGGAATCCCAAAATACGGATTTAATATGGTATGAAAATGTTTTATTTTAATTTATTTATTTTTACTTTAATTGCATCTGTTTATTATGATATGTGAAGATAATGTTTAATTGTGAAAAATTATTTAAAAATTATTTTTAAAAAAGAAAAAGAACCCTTTTTTCTATTTGTGTATGTTTTTACACAGCGGGTTCCTTATTTTTGCACAGGATGAGTTGGCGGGAGATGTGTAGAATGCCTCACCTTGGAGTGTACAGTCCAAATACATGACTAGCAGAGCACAGCTGAAACCCAGTAGGGGAGGAAAGAGCTATGCTGTGAGGTGGAGCCACTTGCTTTATTTATAGCAAGACCCTACTACTAGCAGCAGCAAATGAGTGATGGATTTCAAATGATGTGTTTATTTTTAATATTTCAATGCCCCACTTCATTTTGTCTTTTTAACTTACTGACAGCTTGAAAATCTAGATAAGTCATGTGGACTCTCCTTCACTGGACATTTTTAAGCAGAGGTTGGATGGCCATCTGTCATGGATGCTTTGGTTGAGACTCCTGCATTGCAGGGGGTTGGACTAGATGACCCTCAAGGTCCCTTCCAACTCTACAATTCTATGATTCTATAAGTGGCTTTTGTGTGTGTTAGCACAAGTTGTTCTAGAAACATTTATTTTATTTTATTTTTTAAAATCCTCATGGTGCTCACAACTGTTTTCTCAAAATTTTCACATCCTCTCTTTCTATCAGAATTGGCTCCAGTTAGGAAATAAACACAGAGCTACTGCTGCCACAGGAATGAATGACAAGAGTTCTCGATCTCATTCTGTTTTCACCCTGGTGATGACACAAACAAAGGTACTGGGCATTTCGGTTTGCTTTTAAACTTACTTTTTTATAACATTTTGTAATGCAGGTCAAAAATTCAACAAAATTATTCACTCCCCTCTCTTCCCTTTTGCATAAAGGGGAACTTTTTTATTTAAAAAAAAATGTTCAATAATGCAGCAGACGTTGAGCAGAAAATTCACTTATTGATATAAAACCTGGGAAATAATGGTTTGGATCTCAAGACGCCTGGCACAAGTGGAGAGACTTAATTTAAGCATCAACAAAAGTTGTTTAATCTTACATAAAGTAATTTTATGTATGGGCAGAGTGACTGCACACTATGCTCCCCGTTTTTCTTTATACTTTTTTTTTCTATTGTAAACATAATGAAAGCATTAGCTTCCTATCGATGTGGTTGCTAACTTGTTTTATGAAGTTTTAAATGTTAGAGAACTAGAGCAGGTTAAGGAGGAGATTGTCTAGGTTTCTTTTTTTTTAGGTTATACAAATATTCATGATCTCCGGCTTTGTTTTTAAACTGTTCATAGGCTGCAAGTCAGGTATAGCACAGGAGCATAGGAAACTCCCTTATACTGTGACTGGCCATTGGTCCATCTAGAGTAGTAGTGTATACACTGACTGGCAGCAGCTCCAGAGTTTTAGGCAGGACTCTCCCAGCCCTATCTGGAGATGCCAGATATTGAACCTGAGACCTTCTGCATGTAAGGCAGACACCCTACCACTTACCTACATGCCTTCCTCGCAAGCTGCATCCCTCCCCAACATGTCCAATTGTAGTCATTTCTTTATTTTAGACGGATATTGTGGAAAAGGAGGAACGCGAACATAGAATTATCAGTCGTGTGAACCTGGTAGACCTTGCAGGCAGTGAGCGCTGTTCTACAGCTCAAACCAGTGGAGAAAGACTGAAGGTAAAATGTATACAAGGTACTCTGCCGGGCCTGATATTCTCAGAAACTGGGCAACTGTCCAGCGGAGCCACCTTGTTAATCCCCATGCCAAGCAAATCGTACTGCAACACAACATGCAATATTATGGCATTGAACTTGAAACACAAAGAAGAACCACTTAACAAGTTGTTTTATATAGTGTCAGATTACTGGTCTACCGAGCGCATTACTAGTCCTTTCTACACCCACAGCCTCTTGCCACTTTATCCCATTTCTAGATCAGATTCAAGAAAAACAACAACTATGGGCCAGTTCAGCCATCCTGGGGCCCATATTCCCAGGAAAACTAGCCATGGGTTCTGACCCCAGTTATGTTTATGGTTCTTCAGTAGCCGCTCCTGAGAATACAGTGGCTGGGAAAGGTGACACCGTGAACTGGTATCGGGAAGCCATAACAAGAGATGTGCCAGATTGCAATATATATGCCCCCCGTTTATGTGCATCTATTTAGCCAATTGTAAAATACTATTCTTCCTGTAACAAATGTGTGAACTAGATTGATTAAGCATCTTCCGTCTGTGCACACTTTAAGACATGGAATATTAGTATTGTTAGATACAGGTAGTGATTTGGGTATTGGAATATATAGATGGTTAGGTGACTAGTAGAATGCCTTAGTTATATTTAGGCAAATTATTTATTAATTTATCATTTATTAAATTTGTATACCGCCCTATACACTCAGGTATCAAAATAATTAATTGTAAAAGTGGCCCAGAATTGAATATAAATGATGGGGATGTCCCACGCCTCTGAAATGAACGGTAAATAGAAGTGGATATTCCTCTGCCTTGTGCAATACTGTAACTGGGTTTAGGCACCTATATTGTGGCGCCTGTAGGAAAAACTAGGACATAATATGTTGATGCTATTGACTGTTTCTCTCCTTCTCAATATAGGAAGGTGTGAGTATAAATAAATCCCTGTTAACTCTGGGGAAAGTTATTTCTGCACTGTCTGAGCAAAATCAGAGCAGGAAGAAGGTGTTCATTCCATACCGTGAATCTGTTCTTACATGGTATGTACATTATTTTGTGTGCCATAACAGCTTTTTTTTAAAAAAGCTTCATTTTTTGTAGCGATCCTTTCTTTCTTGGCAGCACTGAATTATTATCAAAGTTAACAGATCTTCATAGAAACACAGCCTTTAATGGTAAAAAATGGAATTAGATCCAGTTATGTCCCACATTAATCAAACCACTCTTCCCCCTCTCCACCCATTCATTTTGGTCCTCTGCTTTTCTATTTCCTGACAATGGAACTGAGCTAATTTTCAAAGTGATTTTGATTGATCCCGGAGGGCATAAAACTACAACTGGTAGAGTACATTTACACTGGTACCTCTGGATGTGAATGGGATCCATTCCGGAGCCCCGTTCACATCCTTAAGCAAACGTAACACGCGACTGTGTGGGTCGCGTTTCGCTGCTTCTGCGCATGTGCGTGATGTCAGTTTGAGCGTCTGCACATGCGCGAGTGGTGAAACCGCGGAGCACAACCCGAAAATATTCATCCCGAAGCTACTTCAACCCGAGGTATGACTGTACTTTATTCTCAACTGGTTATTCTTGCATATAGGAAAAAAAATGGATAATGGATAATAATATTTGGGGCCTATTTCCACTAGCACCTTCAACTAATATCTGTGGGAAAGGCACTGCTTTTAAGCCAGCTAGTGCTTAGACTTCTGAGTTCTGAAGGCCCCCCAAAACATTCCTTTCTTCAACACTAGGGGTGGTGGAGTGAGGCATGCATTCTTTGGCCCGGGCTGCACCGTTTCCTGAACAAGTCTTTGGGAAACAGCCCAGGCCAAGCTGAATGAAGTACACCTAACAGTTGTGCACCACCTTTGACTTTTGCTGCAGTCCCCCCACAGTTTTCTCAGCACTTTGGGGAGAGTTAGTCAAGAGGCCTTTGTAGTGGTGCACACACCTCTGGGTATCTGCCTGTTCCAGTACTGGGAGGGATGGTAAGTTTATGAGTTACGCTTCCCAACTCTGTTCTGATGAGAAGATGCCCCCTGTAAAAAACCATTGGTGTTGTCCCAGAGTCCTTTGGTCCACCCTTTCTGCTAATGCTGGCAGGAGTCCAAGGGGAAGTGGAAGGTGAATGGTGACATGTTGTTTGGAGGCAGGGAACCAATTGGGTAGAGAGGTGAATGACCTGGATCTGATTCCACAGGTGAAGAACTTAGGCATCCTTATTCTAATCTACATAAAGAATTGGATCCTGCAAAATGCTCAAAACATGTACTGTACTTTGTTGTCTCTTCAGAGAATATAGTCTTAAAATAAATCCAGACTGGGGAAAACCATTTATTTTCTTTCAAATGTAGGCTGTTAAAGGAAAGTCTTGGTGGAAACTCGAAAACTGCTATGATTGCCACAATTAGCCCTGCCGCAAGCAATATAGAAGAAACGCTGAGTACCCTTCGATATGCTAAACAAGCTTGTTTCATAATCAACATTGCCAAAGTCAACGAAGACATAAATGCAAAACTAATCCGAGGTAAGCCTGAGAACTATTTTGCTTCTTGACGAAATAGCCCTATGCCAAGTTGTTCCTAGATTTCTTACAAAGTATACACTTACTAAGAGGAAGTAATTCAAAAGAAAGCTGCATCAATTTATGGACAAATGCTTGCAATTGAAATCCACAAAAATGGCAAGAATCATTATTTTAATGGTAATGTGATGAAATTGCCTCGGTGCATTGCTCCATAGGCTTTCTATCAAAGGGAGGAACCTATTGTGCTTATTGGTAGCCGGGAGTGCAAAATACTTTCAAACAGCTCAGAAGTGATCACAGCTCCCTGACAAGCGTGTCTGTATGTTACATGTTTGCAAATATGTTTTTTTACATTCATACTGTACATTTTTAGGTGTATAGTTGATATACTGCATTTTAAAAAAAATAAATACTTGAATTTACTCAATATGCAGGTAACTTAAATTGCAAACATTGTGGGTAGGATTCATCTAACAAACCCTGTCAGCAAAAGCCCTGCACAAGGACTTCCACTTGCAAAATGGGTCTTCCCCCTGTGTTCCACCAAATCGGCTGGGGAGGGCAGAAGAACTCCCAGAACAGCACAGAGGGGGAGGAGAGTAGATCCATTCCACCTGGCAAGCTGAAATGCTTGTGCAGATATAACATTTGTCACTGTGAGACTCATAGATGCCAATCCAGAATATTTGCTAATATAAGAGATGCCATTTTGACTAGCTGCTGAACTCTCTTGTTAAATGTAGAATTGAAAGCTGAAATTGAGAAACTGAAATTGGCTCAGAAAAATGCTCAGAATGTTGACCCTGAAAAACAAAAGCTTTATATGCAAGAAATAACATCTTTAAGAGTGAAGCTATACCAGCAAGAGAGGGAGATGGCAGAGATGCAAAGGTACTGGTACTTGATGTCTTCTCAAAAATACAGACTGCTAAGGGAAGGTTCCCCTCTACTTTTTTTGACTATTGAAATATAATCTATACAGTTAATTGTGCATTGTTGCATAAAGATTGCACATAAATAATAACTAATTAAATAAATAATAATAACAATGTTGGGGCCAGACTGTTTAACTCAAATTGATAGTTTTAACATTCACCTAAGCAATTATTGATTTAAGACTCCTCTTATATATTTCCAGTGATCTTAGTAAATTTCCTGTTATGCAAATATAATGATGGTTTTTTAATTGCTTAAACTTTGTTTCCAATAGTGTGTAAGGATATAAATATTATTCAGTGGTAACTCAATTCTTCTCTAGATTATGTATCCCTTTTGTTAGCCTTAGAATTACATTTGCGAAACGATAATAAGCTGAACCACCATTTTATTTCCCCTGGTAAATAAAGGGCCTGGAAAGAAAAACTTGAACAAGCAGAAAAAAAGAAATTTGAGGAAACAATGGAGTTACAGGTACCATTTTTCAAGTAAATTCAATTGTGGATGCAAAATAATTGTTTTCCCAAGTGTCATTCTTCTTCCTTACCTGCATCATATTCCTACAACAGCAAATGAACAAAAAGTTGCTTTCATTTGCGTGCAATATGTAATGTTCTGAATCTTTTATTTTAGAAAGCTGGCATTACATTCAAGGTTGACAATAGTTTGCCTAATTTAGTCAATCTCAATGAAGATCCCCAGCTCTCTGAGATGTTGCTATACATGATCAAGGAAGGACAAACAACAGTTGGGAAATGCAAGCCAAATTCACGTCATGATATTCAGCTGTCTGGTGTCCTGATTGCCGACGACCATTGGTAGGTGTTTCTCTAAATTAACAAATAATGATAAATGGGTCTTTTGCTCTGCACGATTCCTCTGGTTAATATGCAGCTCCACTGAAATAAATAGGCGCATTAGCTTGTGTAGATTTATAATCCAGGCTAAAACAAATTTAGCTGAAAGTAAATGGGGCAGAATTCGTGTGTTTAGGTTGACAGATTAGGATGGTGATTAGACAGATTCATGGAGGGATAAGTTTATCAATTGCTACTAGTCAAGGTTATAGGAAACTTCCATATTAAGAGGCAGTGTGCCCTTCAATACCAATTGCTGGCAAGCAACAATGGACGAGGGCTTACGGATTTTTCTCAAGCATTTAGTTGCCAGCTGTAGGAAACGGGATGCTGCACTAGATGGAGGTGAAAAACACTTCCTTCCCATCCCTACTCATATAAGTCTTATGCAGCATAATTTCTCTTGTGCCCTCATGTTATATTTGTAATGCAGCATAATCATTTTTTAAAATCCTATTTGTTTTCAAGCATATTGGCTATTGTGCTGAAGCATGAACGAAGCTATGATCCAAAGAAACTAGTTACGTGAATGCAAAGAAGTTAAAACTGCTTCTTCCTCTCTTCTCTCCCCCACCCCCGGCAGCAGTTTCTCATGTGGAAAGCCTTTGAAACACAGGCTTGTTTCCAAAGTAGGATGTCATGATGTGGCAAAGGGGTCAAAAATTCAATTGGGGTAGGAATCAGCTGTTTGATTCCTGGTATACGTGTGTATCCCAAAGTGATTTGTCACACTTTTCCTTACTTGAAGCTTTACTGATAATAACATATTTCTTATTTGTAGTATTATCAAACACATGGATGGTGTTGTGAGTATTATTCCACTGGGAGGAGCGAATACATACGTTAATGGAAAATGTATTTCAAGCCCTACATTTCTCCATCATGTGAGTTGGTTTGAACAGAGATTTATTTGCATGTCAAATTGGGACAGAAGTTTAAATTCATGTGTCATATGCTGGTTTAGTGTAGATTTTGAATGACTAAGCATGATATTATTTGATGTCACTCATGTGCAGAAGCGCTTGCATGCAAACACACACACAAAAAATCATTTTTAACATGCACCAAACATATATCTTGGATTTTTTTAGGGTGACCGTGTCATTCTTGGAGGAGACCACTATTTTCGGTTTAATCACCCAGTAGAAGTTCAGAAAGTCAAAAGTCTTTCTTGTGGCACTTCTCTTCCTGAGGACGGTCCAAGTGGCTTTGAATTTGCAAAGAATGAATTGCTGGCTTCACAAAGGGCTCAGTGAGTACTAGTAGAAATTCTGACTTAAATGGTAAATGTGTATTACAGTGGTGCTTCGCAAGATGAAATTAATTCGTTCCGCGAGTTTTGTCGTCTTGCAATTTTTTTCGTCTTGCGAAGCACGGTGTCGGGAAAGTTTTGGAAAAGCTTCAAAAATCACCAAAGTCTTTAAAAACCTCAAAAAAAGGCTACCACACCGCGTTCTATGAGTTGCTCCTGGAAGTCAAGTCGCAACTGTATTAACGGTGTTAAGAAAAGGAAACAAACTTGCAAGACGTTTCCGTCTTGCGAAGCAAGCCCATAGGGAAAATCGTCTTGCGAAGCAGCTCAAAAAACAAAAAACCCTTTCGTCTAGCGAGTTTTTCGTCTTGCGAGGCATTCGTCTTGCGGGGCACCACTGTACTTCTTGTGTGTGACATGAATGTTGCACCCTGGTTTTTAGAACTTTGATTTTTGTATAGGTTGGAGACACTAAAATGAACAAACATTTACTTTCTATGTAAGAAAGGTGTCTTACGGAATTCCTACCAACATCTAGAAATCCTGTTGCCACTAAAAGCTTAAGTTTAGATAGCTTAAAGCCCACTGTTGCTCTTAGAGCTGATATGGTAAGTTTTATTGGTGTTCGTGCAAAAATTAGCATTAAATTTTGTTATGGTGCTAACAGGAATATAGCAAAGCGATGAGTGGCAAGACGAGTTACGTACATTACCTTATAGCCTTCCGTCATGTTATCTTTGGAACAAATGGGTCTCCTAATAGCAGAAAAAAAGTACGTTTAAATTTGAAAAACTAATCTCTTCACTTTTGGAAAAGTAGTGAGTTTCAGACTTGCATTTATACTGTAATGTAGGTGAAAGGATTGTTTAAAGGTCCTGCACAGCATATTAAGATGATTGAAGCTCCTACTTTTGGGTGTGCATATGTTTGGGGATTGGAAAGAGTATCTAAGCTGCAATCCTGCACCCTCTTACCTCAGAATAAGCCCCATTGAACTCACTGGGTCTTACTTCTGGGTAGAGATATATAGGATAGTGGTATTAATGACTTGGGATAACTAGTGTGTTTCTGTACTACTTTTCTTTTGTGTTAAAAAAAATGCTATAGAAAACTAGCCATAGCTAGTTGGATATAGGTTTTATCAGTTAACTTGGTTTTTAAAACACCCTGTAGACTTGAATCAGAAATAGAAGAAGCACGTCTGAAAGCTAAGGAAGAAATGATGCAAAGTATCCAAATCGCAAAAGAAATGGCCCAAGAGGAACTTAGTTCTCAGCAGAAAATTTATGAGAGCCAGATAAAATCATTAGAAACACAGCTGGTGAGTAATTAATAAGTATTTTAAATACACTTGATCCCATAGAAAGTGACACTGAATGGGGAGGATAGGGTTACATTGCTATCTCCATCAAAAGATGTAACTGCTCCGCTTAAGAGGCCTGCATGTACACTGCGGTCTAGATGAGGATATACATTCAAATGTGTATCCCTGCTTATACAGACGGTCTGCATTAGAGACTTCATTGAGGATGGAAAGGAATAAATAAATATGCACAGGACAGTTTTTCATGGTACATCACCTCTCTGTCCTGAAGCTGGAGGCTAATGGAGTGAAATCCACTTACATTCTAGTAGTTTACTATAACTGGTTGTGAATTGGGCTGTTAGAGAATGGCACCTAGTTTTTTTTTATTAAAACCTTTTTAGAATCATAGAATTGTAGAGTTGGAAGATTAAGAGTCTCATGCTCTTCAAAGTGAGCTGTCCCTAAGAAGAAGAGTTTGGACTTGATATCCCGCCTTTCACTCCCCTGAAGGAGTCTCAAAGCGGCTAACAATCTCCTTTCCCTTCCTCCCCCACAACAAACACTCAGTGAGGTGAGTGAGGAGTGGGGAATTGAACCCGGTTCGCCAGATTACGAGTCCACCGCTCTTAACCACTACACCACACTGGCTCTAACTGAATCAATTGACACAATCCGGCTGTTATGTCTTCCTACCAGCTAATTTCATTTCCTAATGACAGTAGCTCAACTGTGAATATTCTGGGATCTTGGTTCCCAACACTATCCTATACTACATATATGTATGTATGCATGTATGCATTTGGCGTATTTTTAGGTCATCTTTTAGGGCCAAGCTCTCCCAAGGTGGCTTCCAACATATAACATCTCCGCCAAGCTAAGCAGTTGGCCCCTTATCTCTCTCGCCCTGACCTAGCCACTGTGATCCACGCGACGGTCACCTCCAGACTGGATTATTGTAACTCGCTCTACGTGGGGCTGCCCTTGAGACTGACCCAGAAACTCCAGCGGGTGCAGAATGCCGCGGCGAGACTCCTTACGGGGTCTTCGCTGCGAGATCACATTCATCCGGTACTATACCAGCTGCACTGGCTCCCGGTGGAGTACAGGATCAGGTTTAAGGTGCTGGTTTTAACCTTTAAAGCCCTATACGGCCTAGGACCCTCGTACCTACGGGACCGCCTCTCCTGGTATGCCCCACAGAGGAACCTACGGTCTGCAAATAAAAACATCCTGAAGGTCCCAGGCCTCAGAGAGGTTAGGCTGGCCTCAACTAGAGCCAGGGCTTTCCGGCTGCGGCTCCAATCTGGTGGAACGCTCTGTCACAAGAGACTAGGGCCCTGCGGGACCTGACATCTTTCCGCAAGGCCTGCAAGACAGAGTTGTTCCACCAGGCCTTTGGTCAGGGCCCAGCCTGACTCTCTCCTCTGGCAACCTGCACAGAACTTTGCTTAACGGTTGCCATTAATTTGATTTTAATTAATTTTTATAATGAAATGTTTTAGAATGTTGGATTATTTGATTGTTTGATTATTTGTTTGTTGTTAGCCGCCCTGAGCCTGGCTTTGGCTGGGGAGGGCGGGATATAAATAAAATTTATTATTATTATTATTATTAAAACCCACAAATATAGTTTATTCAGGAAGGAAAAAGATATCTTTCTTCTTCCTCATCTTTCTAAACCTCTTCCCCACTGTAATATATAGCATCAGAGTGTTCAGATTAGGTGCTGGCTTCTGAAAAAGGATGAGCATACTCAGTCCTCAGTTTCAGCTCAGCTTTAGAACTTTTTTCTTTTTAATTTGCAAATTATTTCTGCGCGTTTGAATTGTCTCTGAGTATACCCAAAGCACTGTCACTACCTTGTCTGGAGGTGGTCCAGGAATGTCTGGAAATCTGAAGAAAATAGAGTGAGAGAGAAAATGAAAGAGCTTCCAAGATTTTTGTGAAATGTGAGTGTGTGTTTATGTGAGCAAGTAAAGAATATTGCTTTTTCTGGGGCAATGGTTTTGCTTGGGTCAAGCATATTTTTTGTTATTGGCACATATTATTAATTCTTTTGTTTTCTTAGGAAGAAGAATCCCGGAGGAAACAACTGCAGGAAATGAATAATAAAATAGCTGTAAACAAAATTCAAGAGCTGGAGCAAGCAAAACGGGGCCTTGAGCTAGAGGTACACGTAAACAAGAAGCGCTTGGAAATGGAGACATTGGCTGCCAGGGAGGTAAATTTTAAAAACGAAACCTAAAACCTAGCATCTTGTCTTATCAATTGGACAGTGTACCGTGATCTAGTATTGCTTCTCTGAATCTATACATTTCTATGCAGCATAACTCCAAGAAACTATGTCGCAGGCGCCCTCTAGCTCTACCCTTTCATGAGATCGACTGATATTTGGGAAATGATAGTTTATATAACTTTGGGTGCTCTGCTGATGTGCCTGTTACAGCAATGGAAGGCATCCCTCGAAGCTGTGTTGTGTAATCACTCTTTGCAATGTAAAATATTTGCAATCATATTGGAAGGAAACTAAGACCTCTTTTTAAAATTGTGCTTGGCAAATGTGAAGATTATAGAAAATGGCATATCTGTCCCTGTGAATGGAGTATTAACTTAGCTGAGGATTAATAGTTGCAAGTTTGGTCTGAGTCACTTTTACGTAACTTTTAAAAAAAGAAAAAAGATCCGCTTTGCTGAATCAGATCATAGTTGGCTATACCTCTGGAAAGTTGTAAGCATGGCATAAAAGTGATGGCCATCCCTTGTAATTGTCATTTTGCCCCCAGCAGCTGGTACTTAGAGGTTCCGTGCCTTAGATAAAATCATCCTAGTTTTAATTAGTTGTTTTCTAAAATCAGTTTTATAAGTTTGTGCTTTCCCCCTCAAGCCTAAATGGAAGGAGCATTGTTTCACGGCTATCTTTGTGTACTGTGTGTGTTTTGAGGGTAATGGATAAGGCAAGGTAACTAATAGAATTTATTTCATTTAGGATCAACAGCCTGAACTGAATATTATGTGTATGGTCTCAGAAGCTGTGCAGCTTTTGCTGAAAAATCTCATAATCCCTTGCTTTGTGGTAGGTTTTAGAAGATCATGTCATTCGCCGTGCCAAGATTCTAGAAGCTCTAGAAGCTGAGAAGCAGAAAATTGCTCAGGAAGTGGCAATGCTTCAGCAGACTCATGGAAACAGAAATAAAGGTATGGTTACATTATTATATACAGCTAAGGGACGCGGGTGGCGCTGTGGGTAAAACCTCAGCGCCTAGGACTTGCCGATCGCATGGTCGGCGGTTCGAATCCCCGCGGCGGGGTGCGCTCCCGTCGTTCGGTCCCAGCGCCTGCCAACCTAGCAGTTCGAAAGCACCCCCGGGTGCAAGTAGATAAATAGGGACCACTTATCAGCGGGAAGGTAAACGGCGTTCCGTGTGCAGTGCCGGCTCGCCAGATGCAGCTTGTCACGCTGGCCACGTGACCCAGAAGTGTTTGCGGACAGCGCTGGCTCCCGGCCTATAGAGTGAGATGAGCGCACAACCCTAGAGTCGGACACGACTGGCCCGTACGGGCAGGGGTACCTTTACCTTTTTAACTGTATGGTGGTTAACCACAAACTAACGTAAGAGTGTCTACATAAAGACTTTTCTTTCAACAGGAATCCAGGAAGGCCCTCTTCATCTCTGTGTTGAAAATATATCTTCTCCTTGCAACTAGGGAGAGAGGGCCTACTGGTTTTTTAAGGGTTTATATATTTGCTTGTAGTGTTCGAAACTCCCAGTGTTCTAGGTGCATTTTGTGACAGGGAATTTCATTAGCGCCAGCAATTTCTGAGCTCTGGGCGCAGTACAGTGCCTAAGATTTCAGAGTAAAACTGCAGAGTGGAAGGAAAGGAGGACCTTTTTCTGCCTCCCCACTTCCAGCTACTCCAGCTGAAGACTGGAGAAGAGACCCTCTTAAGAATATTAGGGGGGCGGGCAGGGGAAGGACTAGACCATGTGAAGAATGAACGAAATATTTTAGCTGCAGTTCATTCATTTTCAGCTTTGTATTCTTGTTATAGAAATGTACACCTTGACATTCCCTTGTTGCGCCCATAAACTAGGTTTTAGGTACCATTTGGCTCCTAGTTTTCATATCTCAGTTTCTAACACTGTTTGCTTGGAGAGCTACCCTTTTTAAAAAACACAAAACCCCCCATCACATTTCTTATCCATTCACTTGGGAGCTTTTGAATATACTACTTTTCAGTTTCTTTCCAAACCTGTTATGAGAGCAGACTTGGGAGGGTGCAGTATGAAATTATACAGTATGGGTGGACAATAGCCTAAATGTTTTTGTGCATTCCTCATAGATACAAAAGTCATCCTGTCCTGTCCTGTCCTGTCCTGTATGGAATTTAAAAAGAATTTCAGGGATTACCAATTCAATGACTGATTGCATAATTATTAACTAGTAATTACAGAAAAAGTCCATTATCTTTTTCTTTGAAAAATATATATTTAGCAGAGCCAAACTGGAATTCTTTGAAGCTGTCCATGATGATCAAGGAGGCCAACACTATTAGCAGTAAATTGGAGAAACACACAGTTTTTTGTAGGTAAGTATTTTAACTAAAATATTAGAAGTGGTGCTGCATATGCTTTTTATGTTCTGTGATTTGATGACTTCCTCTGAGTAATCAAATATAGCATTTCTGATAAGAACATATAGTTCTTAAAAAAGAAAAGGAAAAAAGAGGGGGAAATGTGATTCTGGAAGGACAAGGGTTTAGTGAAAATTCAGTGAGATTTCCTGTACTCGTGTTTTTTTCTGAAAAGGCTAACATAATGTTCCTGGCTAGTTGCAGGCTTTTTCATTCCAAAATCAAGCACCTATTTGTAAGGTGTTTTGTCTTGTAATCTGTGTGTAAAATACCCCACCACCACAGAAAGATAATGGTAATCAAGGGACACGTCCTGTAATTACAGATACTTCATGTTCTGGGAGTAAATTGATTTGTTTGTTCCATCAGGCATGATGCAATGGATAATAAAAATGGTCCTGGCCATTCCCTTCAAGTTCAAGTCCGTAACATCAGGCTTGGTGTTGCAACATTCTGGAGTTTGGAAAAATTTGAAGATAAATTGGCTGCAATGAAAGAAGTCTATGAGGTTTGTTTGGGAATAAAACATTATTTGCTTCCTAAAATATTGCTTTTTATGAGAAAGAGGCAGTTTTAAAATTGGATTAAATCTGATTTAAAAGACACTGCATCCAGTATAAGTACCTGTCCATGTTGCCAAAGGCTGCTGACTCAGAACTGGTTGGGTGTCAGTGTCCCTGGAACCCAGTGAACGGTTTGGTTTCAACACTTCACAGAACAGCCTATGGCTGTAGGGGAGGGCAGAAGTCAGTGACCTCAAGCTGGGGATTTGGAGAGCGACAGAGGCAAGGGAGGAGGAGCAAACAGTGGTGGAACAGAGAAAGATCTGGAGGAAAAATGTTTAGAAAAGGTAGTGCAGCGAAGCATGGAGAAAGAAGGTGTTTGCAGGAAAGCCTAGCTGCTGAGGATTTAGCCAAAGGATCAGGGGTGTAGTGGAGAGAGAGAGAGAGAGAGAGAGAGAGAGAGAGAGAAGATTGGAGAACCTCCCCCTTCTGGTCCAAACTTCAGTCCCTATCCTGATGTTAAGGGATGGTAATATCTTTTTCTTCTTGTGCTGCCCACATAACAGACTTTGTTTTGGAGCTAGCAGCCTTTTTCCAGATTGATGAAGGTTTTAGGCCTTCCCTTGTCCAACACCTTTAATGAAACGGGTTTCTTTCCATTCCAGACGAACAATACTAACAAAGCTGATGAGATTTTTTATGATCCCACTGATGAATGGGAACCTGATTTTTCAAATGCATCCATCTCTTCTATTTCTTCAAGGAGGTAAATAATTTCTAGGTTGAATTTAATGTTAGATTCTGCCTCTTTACAAAAAATATAGAGAGAGAAGTATATATAAATAGTGAGTGGAAAGGAATTATAACCCTTTAGGGATGCTTATAGGTAGTTCAGTAACTACACCTGCAAAAAAATTAATATTTTGGTAATGTAGTAATGATGGGAAGCTTAACTTCTTAGCCTCCTCCGCAAAACAGGACAAAGCAAGAAATGCCTGTGCAGAATCTCCCATCAAGACTGATCTTTCCCCACCCCCTTCATTGGGGTAGCCAAGGTTTCTGCTGGGGGAGCCAGTACAAGCCCAGATTAATATATTTAGAAAGGGATGGTTTCCAGCGTCCTTTGAACTGTTGCTGTGTTCATCCTCCAGTAGCAAGATAAATGAATAGTGTTTCTCACTAGAAACCAGATATAAATAAATGTATGCATGAGTTTCAGAAAATTAGTGGAAGCCACAAAAGTTTAAAAACACCTGTCCTGCTTTGTTTTCTCCCCCTCCATTTCTTGGTCAATTTCGATAGAAGTTTGAGGAGGAGCAAAAGAATTTCTGGATGTTTGTCTGAGGTAAAGATGAGACTGCACAATTCATACCTATCAGGTGTGTATGCACTTATAATCATGTCACCTTCAAAAGCTATATTTAATGTTGCATTCATTTTTAGTGGTTTGCAATTTTTCTTAAAAAACTAGTTGTTTTGTAAAGTATTCCCATATTTATAGGGGATAGTGTTCCTTTATATATTTTTGCCAGGTGTGCAGCAACACGTGAGAGGGCATTCTCAATATTGGCACCCTGGTTGTGGAATGCCCTCCCTTCACAAATTTGACTGGTGAGTTTTTGGTGCCATTTGAAAGCACACTTATTTACCTACACTTTTGGTCAAACCAGATGTGGAGTAGGCAACCTGACCTTGATGATTTGTCAGTTTACTGTATGCAATGATGAGCTGGTTTTACTGGTAATATTTGCTTACTTTTTATATTGTAACTTGTTTTGGGATCAATTTTAATGAAGAACAATATATAAATCATTTCATTAAAGAAATATATCTTGCTCTCTTTCAAGTCATATTTAGTTTTATATTATTTATTATTATATCATCATCATTATTTACAAAGAGCAAACCTGCTTTTTCAAAAGGGCTCTACTTATTTGTCATAGTTCCGCTCTGTACAGTATTTTAAAAAGTAGGGCAAGAGATCCATCAGGATGCTGACTTATTCTCACTCAGTGGAGGAGTGGAGCATACAGGAAAGGGTTAATCTCTTCTAGAAGGTACAGTCAAAACTAGACTGATTTCTAGACTAGACCCCCTGACTTCTGTAAGGGAAGTTAACCCTTTCCTGTATGCTTCACTCTCAGCTAACTAGAAGAGCACTTCACAATTAAGTCCAGTTTTCCATTTTGTCTAACTATACGTATGCCTTCATCACACTGTTCTGTCATCACAGACTCAGCAAATAAATTGGGCAGCCTGGGCTCAGACCTACCTGAATCATCTCTACCTGGCATATGTAAGGAACTGATAGATTCAGCTTTGGATGTCTTGGGACAGACTACAGAAGAGGAAGAGAGCATAGCACAAAGCCTTTTAGCAACATTGTTTAACGTTTATGCTGGAGTCTCTGCTTTGATAAAGGCTTATGAGCAAGCTGAACAAAGTCAAGAGAACTGTAAGTCCTATTGCTGAGTTAGTAGCCCCTTTTTGAGTTCTAGCTTTGAACCTCATATAATTTATTTACAAGTGCACATTTCCTTCAGTCCAGAATAATTTGCCTCCTTTCTATCTTTTCAGTTTTCACTGTTAACTATACTGCTCAGTCCTGCAGCATCAAGATTAGTTCAGCTTTCGAACAGCTTGTTGTTCTAACCAAGCACTGGCTGAACAGTTTTCGAAAAAATGAAGAATTTGTAATGATTCATGTTGAAGTAAGGGAGAGTGTAAAACACCTGGGAGCATATCTGCAATTGCTCTTACGGGTAAGTTTTCTTGTTATGGCCATCCTTTAGGAATGAAAGAGAACAATTGGAAGTACAGTCGTACCTTGGAAGTTGAACGGAATCCATTTTAGAAGTCCGTTCAACTTCCAAAACGTTCGGAAGCCAAAGGGCGGTTTCTGATTGGCTGCAGGAAGGTCCTGCAGACAATCGGAACCCGCGGAAGCCCCGTCGGACGTTCGGTTTCCAAAACTAGTTCACTTCCAGGTTTGCGACATTCGGGAGCCAAAATGTTCAAGAACTAAGCTGTTCAAAAACCAAGGTACGACTGCATTGGCCAAAACTGTATTATCTATCAGTGTACATTGCAAATATTATGATGTCATGTTTCTGATGCTGGAACAAGACTATACTGTTGTCACAATATGAATAGGAATGAATCATAAAGATGCATGCAACAACTGTATTTTTGTTTTCTCAGGGTGGTTGCTCAGATTTGTCTTCAGTAGTAGTAGAAGCACAAAAGAAAATAATGCAGATGTTGAAACAAATGGCAAAATACACAGGACACTTGGTGGTACTTACTGGCTCAGATCTACATCTTTCTGCAGAAAATAAAAGTGATGCAAGCAACCCAAAGGTAAGAGAGACAGAGACAGAGGTGTCTGGTTCACATGTCACAGTAAGCCAAACCATGGTTTTGCAAATCTGTGGATAAAAGGATCTGATAGGGTGGGCGCAAAACAATGGATAAAGAAAGTACAGTGGTACCTCTGGTTGTGCATGGCAAAATGACGTGACGTCATTTTGCACGTCTGTGCATGCGCGAGCTGCAAAACCCAGAAGTAACGCTTTCCGGTACTTCTGGGTCGCCGCGGGATGCAACCTGAAAAGACGTAACCTGTGAAGCTAATGTAACAAGAGGTATGACTGTACCAACAGACCACTGTAGGGATGGGGAATCTGTGGCCCTTTCAGATGATGAGACTTCTAAAAACTGTAACTGGCTTAATTTTTTTTTGAAAAATCTCTTTTTGTTTTCAGAAGCAGTTTATACCAGACATCTATGATGGAATGGTCTCTGGACTGGAACACCTTTTAAACTGCATACAGAAAAAATCTAGGGCAATGTGGAACGAACTCTTAAAATGGTATCCACAAAATGAGGTGATGTGGGGATAATTATAAACTATCCTTTATGCATGAGGAGGGAAGCATATTTTTTACTATGTCACAAATTTAATAGTGCCGTTTTAAGCTTCACGCTGTTTATATTTGCAACTGGTGATTTTCATTACAGACTTGTGTATATATAATCAGCATTTGCACTACACTTTTTCTCACAGCTACACATACCACAGAAACACTTAAAACACATGGCATAATGAAACTGTTGACTGCTTAAAGGTTAAATGGCTTCTTTAAACCAGTGTGTCTGCTACAAGGGCAGTAGATTAAACCAAAACCAAAACCAGAATGCTGTCTGTAGTGAACAATATTTCATTTTTTTTGTATTGGTCTTTGCTGCCTTGGCAGACAGACTATAGCATTAAGAGGGGATAACTAAAGTGTTAATCTTAAATGCATGGAAACTCTCTGTTTAATTATGCTGTAAAATTAACAAGGAATCATAAGTGGCAAAATGGGAAGCATTTTTCTTATTACAGCTGATATTCCAAAATATATTGTCCAAGATGCAAAATGCTACTACAGTGGTACCTTGGTTCTCGAACTTAATCCGTTCTAGGAGTTTGTTCAACTCCCGAAACCATTCGAAAACCAAGGCTGCAGGAGCTTCTTGCACTTAATCGGAAGCTGCAGAAGGCGCGTCAGATGTTTGGCTTCCAAAAAACATTCGCAAAACGGAACACTTCTGGGTTTGCGGTGTTCGGGAGCCGATTTGTTCGACACCTAAGCCATTCGGGAACCAAGGTACCACTGTACTGGCAATGCTCAGTAGAATGTGTAACTTTTTTTTTTTTTTAAGGATTTGACATCCCAGAGCTCCATTGCCACAATGCATTTCGGGTGTCCTGTTTCAAAAGTGGTATACAAGGTGGCATAGGAGTCTGTGGTTCAATATATATTTTATCTGAATAATATTAAGATAGATTTTCAGGTTTTAATCGTTATCAAGTTTTATTTGTGGTGACATGAATTCTCGGTTAGTTTGCCATCTAAACCAATGGTCTGTTTATACATAAGAGTCTATTTCACATACACAAAGAACACACACACTAAGCCACACCATTGCTTAGTGTGAGCAAGCAATCATGCAGGCTTTCGTTTTGCTCCTCCTTAGGTTGTTCGTTTCCTGCCCTGTGCTAAGCCATGGGTTTAGCCAAGCATGTTGTTTGACCCCAGGCTCATTGTTTTCCTTTCCCATACAATTCACAAACTGTAAACCACAGGAGAAACACAAGAGCCCAGGTTAAAATGGCGCACAAGGCACAGTGCAGCACAGCAGCAGAACAACTGGAGTAGGAACAAAGCAGCCACAGACTCATATCTGAGAGCCTACTCATTAGCACAACCATGGTTTGCCATGACATTGCATGTAAATGAGGTCACTGACTGCTGTGATCCTCTTCATATGGTGGTACAGTAGTAGGGGCAACCTTTTATATTTTCACTTGCATTACACACATTTTGTAATGTCTGAAACGGGTATTCTGTGTGGATATCCACATGTGCAATGCCCCAATATACACTTCTCTCCCCTTTCCCTGTTGATATTAGAATATTACATTTGTTGGGTGGCAAAGGGGGATGGGCTCCAGCCACTATGCTACATCCCAAACATTGTACAGGCTGTTATTCATGAACCAGGCCAAAGTTTCTAAATATCTCAGCTTGTGTTAGAAACTGTTTTATGTTTATGGTTTAAATTTAAGTAGAATCTAATTTAAAACGTCTTAACGCTTTTCTTTGCAGGTTCAGAATCAAATAAAGACTAAAGCTATGGATTTGGCTAAAATCCTTGAAAATATAATAGCTGGTTGTAAAAAGGTAAACGGAGCTCTTTCTTAGTTACAATTTTCACTTTCGACTTAGCAGAGTAGTATAACGTTGCTTACATATTACAGTGAAATTCAAATGAAATTAAACATTTTCCTGTTATTCTTGAAGTTTGGGCACTCAAAGAGATATTTAGACAATCAATGCCAATATGTAGACAACAATAAATGGGTTTTCCAGGATTTGCTTACATCAAGGATGGGAAACCCTGTGGGCCTCTAGATGTTGCTGCATTCCAACTGCCATCAGCCCCAACCAGCATCACCAATGGTCAGGGATGGTGGGAACTGTAGCCCAACAATATATGGAAGGCCAGAAGTTCTCCTTCCTCCATTTACACGTTATGGGTTGTATCCAACTGTCTCACTTTGCGGATGGAAGACACTTTGATCCACTTGAGGCTTCTCTCAGTGGAACAGAGAGGCTGGTGCTTCTTGCCAATCCCCCCGCCCCGCCCCATCCACAGCCCCAAATGCACACTCTATCTCAAATCTCATTGGAACAGTGTGGGAGGTAGTGTGAGGGGCCATATAGGGAAGGCGGAACTGCAAAATAATAATGATTAAACAAAAATGCCTCCCTCCCTGTTCCACTTTAGCAAAATTTTCTAAGAGGCCCATGTCAGTGGAAGGACACAATTGGATGCTACCCCATATAATTAATATATATATATATATATATATATATAACACATAACAGTGTAGGGACGCGGGAGGCGCTGTGGTGTAAACCACTGAGCCTTGGGCTTGCCAATCGGAAGGTTGGCGGTTCGAATCCCTGCGACGGGGTGAGCTCCCGTTGTTCAGTCCCAGCTCCTGCCAACCTAGCAGTTCGAAAGCACGCCAAAAAAGTGCAAGTAGACAAATAGGTACCACTCCAGTGGGAAGGTAAATGGCATTTCTGTGCGCTGCTCTGGTTTTGCCAGAAGCGGCTTAGTCATGCTGGCCACATGACCCAGAAAAACTGCGGACAAACGTCAGCTCCCTTGGCCACTAAAGCGAGATGAGCGCCACAACCCCAGAGTCGTTCGCGACTGGACTTAACTGTCAGGGGTCCTTTTTTTACCTAACAATGTAATATGTGAAGAGGGCCATATTGGACACAGGTTGCATCTTTACAGATCTTTAAAAGACCTACATAGTTCTTGAAAAACCAAGGCCACTTGTTTTTCAAAATCAGTATGATAGGCAACCCTAAGAGACAGTATTCTCAGGGATAAAATTGTTTTTATTGTCTGTCATTTTCTGAAAACCATTTTCTAAAATTGGCACAGAAAGTAGCAGCAAATATATCAGGGACTGAAGAAGGTGTTGATCAGGAGTTAAAGAAAGCAACTAGCAAAGCTGTTGCATTCTTGGAATTACACCATTGCCTAGATCAAGTCTGTCGGATGGTTACTTCTTCATTACAAGGTATGCTAATTTTCGTTATAAGGTATTGTGATAAATGACTGGATTTTAAAAACCATTTTAAGAGTATACTTAAAGAGATACATCAGTTGGTGCCAGAGTCTCCATTTGCTTTACAATGTTTACGATGGAAAATGGTCATTGTGATCTTTTTTTCTTTCTGAGTAAACTTATTGCCTCCTTGATCAAGGCCAAATTCACATTAGCTCTTTAGTCTTGCTGTTGCAGAACTGCTTTTCTGCAAGCATTCCCACATTTCATTGGTAACTTGTAAAAGTTGCTTAGATCGTGTGGTCCTTCTCATGCCAAAGTCAGTGACTGTGATGGAGATATAGGCTTGGCATGGAGTGTACAAACTTCATATTACTGACTGAAAGCAGAAGCCAACAACGAGAAAGCAGGTTTGCTGCTAGAGCTTCACCAGAGGCTAGCAAAGTGAGTGAAGAGAGAATTTTGTGGGGACCTCATGGTGTTCCGACCAGAAACATCATTGTTTCTTCTGTATGCAGTGTATTTAAAATTTAGATCCCTGCAGTTTCTCTCACTGCATCTATGATAAGTAATATACACTTGTTTTTATTAAGGTCAGCTCTGTTTGGCTACTGTCTTTGTTCTTGACCACTTTGTCTACAAGCTAAGATTGCCTATTAGGGAATGCAACCGTCAAATTGAAAAAGCGTTCCCCATTCAATCCTTTTCTACAGTGAATGGCAGCCCTTCTCCCTTCTTAACATCTAAAGTTTAAAAAGCATGTAGTAGGATACCTAATACTTGCATGCAGTATTATTTTCTGGGTGCCTCAAATGCAGCACTTTATGTTATGTCAATGGTTGATTCTGCCAGTGGAAGCCATGAACATATCCCCACCTTGTGGAACAAATTATAGTAAGGTAAACAATCATATTTCTGCAATCATTCTCTAAGCCTCCTGAACATTTTTTTTAATGAAAAACAAAAATAAGCTATGTGTATAAATCTGTTATTCCTTTCTGAGTCTCTTCAAACGATGTGCAGATTATTCAAATTTCTTCCTAATTATTTTTAACTTACTGGCTTTTTTACCTTTGTTTTTCACAGGCTCATATAGAAACAGAAGTCCACTTAGGTATTTCATAGAAAAGATTTGCATCTTAACTGGGAATTTTAACACTCTCTGCAACCCATCTGTATTATCCACTGATACAGCAGACAATCCTGTTTGCACAATCCCAGAGCCTTCTGTGAACCATAGAGAATTGGACTCCGTAGCAAAGTCACTCATTATAAGTTTTGAACTTGAACAGGGACAGAATTCATCAAATGTTCAGGACACTTGTATGCAAAATTCTTGTTCTGAAGGAAAACAACTTGAAGAGGATGAGGTTCTAAACATCTGGGAGCAGAAAGAAGCTCCAAAATGGGAACATCTACTTTGGTCTCTACCTAAAAGCTTAGGGGAAGCTTCACCTAGTGGAATCCATTGGGTATAAATTATTGCTTAACTTATGGAATGCAGGTAATAAACACTGTAACGGTTATGTTGGCTATTGTGTTGGCATCTGGAAAAAATGGAGCCTTGGAACAATAAGTCTTTGGGCTAGTTCACATGCTCACCCAGCCAAGATTGCCCTTCTGTGGTGAATGGAATAAGTGCAGGTCTTCCTCTTTTACTTGCATATTTAAGGCATTGTGTGAATCCATTCATGAAGTCTCAGTTCACTAAATTTTTATCTCTTAGGGTGTAACTAAAAGTTTGCAAATCATCCCATGAGAAGGGTTCCTGGTTCCCAAAATATCTTATATGTACTTTTCAGAGGAGTGGTCTTGCCTGCTCCCTCTATCATGGAATGACAGTTCTTGGCTGGGTGATGTAGTCACTGGTCCCTAAAGAAGCTGCAAATTCACACCAAAAGGAAGTCCAGTCCAAGATGCATATTATAAGCTGTGGGGCAAGTCAGAAAATTCAGTCGTTAAAATTTAATTCATTCTGCATGCATGTAATAGCTTCATTTTAAAACCATGCTCCAACATCGAAGGAGTTGCATTAACCTTGCTGGTCATATTTCTTAGCTCTTGGGGTCTATAAATGTTTAATGTTTAGTAGGCAGTTGCAGTACCTAGGCCAAATATATTTAAAGTGAAATTCTTGAAAAATGGGGACATAGTTGCTTGGGTAGTGATGTGTCATTTTATACGAATAATTTTAACAATGCACCCCTGTTTTGCAGCCATTGTTTGGGCACAGTTCAAGTTGTAGAATAAGAGGCTTAGAAGAGGTCTCTTGCTGCCACTGAACCCTCAGGATGGTTAGTCTCCAAAGAGACTCATGTCTGCACCCATGCAAATGGCTTGTGTTTACCACAAGGGTGTCTAAACATGTGAGCCAATTTCCCTTTCAGCAGTAACTGCTCATTGCTGGGGGGAAGCCACTTCAAAGGACCCCAACCTTTAGGTATGATTTTCTAGGGCACAGAGGAAAGGAAATGGCAAGACTGCCCTTTGGATTCCATTTGATTACATGGAATAACAGGGTATGAGGTAAAGTGATTTAAAAAGTAACAGCTTCTTCTCAGTTTGGTGACAATGATTTTTAAAACAAGTGAAAGGGAGTAGCTTCTGAGTATGGTAAGTTCCCTCAGCCTTAATTTTAAAGAACAAGCTTTTCATTATTTTGTAATTTATATGCAGTACTTGTTTTGGTTGTTGTTTTTTAAGAATAACATATTTAATTCTTTTTAGCAGAGCTTTTCCAGTATAATTATGGTTTGCCAACAGAGTTGTTTGGACACCTGAAAGTCAACTTTACTTTTAACGGTGTACCACACAGTACAACAGAACTCGTTCATCATTCGTTAAAAGGCTTTAAAATGATCGTTGACCTGACACAAACTATTTCAGTTGTTGAGAATTTTAAAAATCCCTTAAAACAAAAACACAGTGCTGGCTTTCACATTTTTATAGTACCAGTTTTGATTGATGCTTGTAAATGTAACTCCTCCTAATCATGTATTGTCTATACACATCTATTTACATACACAAATTTGTATATAAGGTGCTTACAAAGATCAGAATTGAATTGTAAAGATTTGCAAATAGAGCATAAGGTACCTTTAAACATTATTGGTTCTTTTTTAAAAACTAGTATCTGCCTTGAGCCATATATATTGAGCTTTAAATGCTGTACAAAAGTGATATTAAACTATTCTATTCAAGTGTATGTGTTTTTAGAGCATTTAAAAAAACCTATATATTCATATATTGGAGCTCACCTGCTGTGTGTGTGTGTGTGTGTGTGTGTGTGTGTGTGTGGAGGGTAACAGGTTGACAGTTCCCTGCTTCCTGTGTCTTGCTCCTCATGCCTCATAGGATTGCTTTTCAGGGTGCCACGGGGCAGGACTCTTCCTACCCCCCCTCAGAATAGGGAAGCTAAAAAGCCCTTGGGCAGTACACTACGTATAGTTCTTTGGATTCCAGCCACTAACTATTTATAATATAGTGTTTTTGCATGTACTCGCACGCCAAGCAGAGTTTAATTAAATTGCTACGTTTTAGGTTTCAGAGGATTTGTCCCCTGCTTTCTTGAACGTTCAGCACTTACATTTTTTTAAGCCAGTAGATAACATTGCATTGGCAGAAGACAAGCAAAACTCTTAATGCAGGACTACAGGTGCCTTGTAAAAGAAACATGAAATACATGAAGCCACATTACACAAAGTCAAATGATTGGTTCTTTTTGCCTGCTGCCATCTAGCAGATTTTATCTAGCCTTGTAAACAAAGGCCCTTCTTACCTCTGCTGTGTGTGAAATTGAGGCCTGAGCTGTAACCCTCTCCCCTTTAATATGAATTTGTCTGATAGTATAGCCGTTTTTAACATCAGTGCCAAACGTGGTGCTTTGCAGACTCTGCTGTTCATTTATTCCTCCTACATATATGACATAGGCCTTGCCTTTTCTCTTCTTTCCTCTTGAACTAACACTGACCTTTCCTGTCAGTGTATCTGAGTCAATTTCCATGCCGACACCGGCTAATTTTGCTGAAAACATTCCCAATCTATCACTCTTGTTCCTTTTCCCTCGGTGAGTAAGCAAGCTATGTTCATTGTTACACTCAAACTTGAAAGGATTATGGAAATAGTTGCAAAGGAGAGTTCTTATCCTCAGATCTATGTTGTATTTTGATGGGCCAGTTTTCACAGACACATCCTGTTAGGCTCTTAACAGAGTATTTCTGCCAGCTGAGACAGAATTAGATTTGGTTCTCTCAAAATTACCCCCCACCAAAAAAACTTTTATTTTGTTTCTCATGCCAATTCTCCCACACCCTGGAACCTGAAGAGATACGTTAGGTGACCACTCAAATGTGACTCTCTGGATATCTGGCTTAGAGGAGGGTTTCCCAAACTTGTGTCTCCAGCTGTTGTTGGAATACAACTCCCATCATCCCTAGCTAGCAGAAACAGAGGTCAGGGATCAGGGAATTGTAGTCCAAAAGCAGCTGGAGACCCCTGTTTGGGAAACACCGGCTTAGAGTGTACCACTGAGTCTGTTTTGAACTTTGTACCTGATCTTTACTCTTGATTCTAAAACATTTTTTAAGAGAAGAAATGGATTCCAGCTACTTATGTTCTGTGTGGTTAGTTAGTGCAATTTAAAATGCTTCAGTAAGTGTCTCGAATAATTTTCTTCAATTTCCATTATTTTGAATCACCTCCTTCTATAGCATTGTTAAGAATGTTGTATTAGGAGTCCTCTGGAAACTATATAGCTCTATAACTCATAATTTGCATATAGGTTTCTTTTTTTAAAAAAAAAAATAGCATTAAGAGTGAGAACATATTCTTGCTTTCTCCAAAGAACGCTAAATACAATATGCATAGCTGATGTACAGCTTCCGTCTTCACTTGGTTCAATAATGGCACCCGCAGGTAAGAGTGAGAATCACAGGTATTTCACTCTCCTTAAAACAGTTATGCCACAAGCACATGGCTATATACTGTACTATTCACTTTCTAATCTACTTATGGATACAATGTTCAGACATTTTTCTGGGCAGAAGCAAATATTTCTGTTAAGTTGGCTATTTATACTTTAGTGTTTCAAACCCCTGCAAAAAGAAAGGAAACCTTGCAGACATTTACATTGTAAATAATCATTCAAAATACAGGCCTCTCAACTTCTGCACAATAGTACAGTAATTGGAACGCTAAGAGCCGAATTTTAACTGCGTATCTCTGTCCAGGTTTTGCACAGTGCATGTATATGTCTGTAATATGTATGCAAATATGTCACACAAACATGCTGCCAGAGTTGCTGAACTACATTTGGTTCTGTCAAAGGCTTTCTTGCTCACAAAGGCAGGCTGTTGTGCACGCATTGTGCGTATGGGCCCCTTACCATCTGTTGTGCATGCGATTTGTAGCCAATGATTGTGTGAATTGACCCAAGGTCTTAACCACCCAGACCTTTCTGACTGAAAAAAATCAGTCATGCTCAGTTTATTCATTAAAATATAAGGCTCTGAGAATTCCAAATTGGCACCAATTTCTGTGCGTTTAGTTCTCTGTCTTTCTCTAAGAGAAAAAGGTTTGTAACGGAGCCCAATATAAATATTGGGAGCAATAGTAATTCTTCTGTTTCCAACTCTGCTCTCTTCTTGGGCGACTTCTTGGATAGCAGTATATTTTGCTTGATTCTCTACAGTGTGAACAGCTGGGGGCTATTTCTTGCTGCCTCCCCCAAAATCTGAGCACCTGATGAACCAACTATTTGGGAACTTGCTCAGATTTGTTATAATGGAGGTTTGGGTTGAATTCTGATTTGCTTTAAAAACCTTAAACCTTGGGTCTGATTTTGCTTCAAGTTCAGTAGGCCCACTTTGTTAACATTCACTTTTATTTGTGGATCATAAAAGAAAAGAAGCATTTTTTTTCAGCTGCAGGAAATATAGAAAAGTCTTAAAACAGTCATGACAGAAAATTAGCAAAAGCAACCCTTCTTTTTACAGTAATATTATTACTCAGTGCTTACAAGCCTGAGGGTGGCTAGTTGGTTATGTTTCTTTTTAAAAATGCTGAAGTGCAGCTGGTATTCCTTAAAAAATTAACTTTGCAGCCACAAAAGTTCAATCCTGGAAAAAATTACTGGGAAATGCAAGGATAGTGATGTCATGTATTTGTTTTAATGCTTATACATTCAAGGGGAAAGCATTCATCTGCTTTTATTTCAAGTCATTTTGAAGTAAAATCCATTTCCTTTTTGGCAAGCCTAGCATGAGCATTTTTAAATTTAAAAACTGGTACTTGTAATTAATGTAGAACCACTCGATGGTTATGTTTCTTTAACGATAATTGCACGGTATTGACTATAGCTTACAGCTTCATCCACCAACAAGAGTATCTTCTGCATAAGCCAAAAAGGGTCCCAAATCCAGCAATGATGGGCAATTTTATGGGTTTTACAGGACATAGGTATTTTAATTGCCTAGCACTTGAGCCTCTCTGCTCTTAAATTGGGCTTCTGAGCATGGCTTGTGCATTGTGGTAGAAGGCCAAACATTGTCCATTACTTCTTTCTCCCAGTGGTTGATAAAACAGCTCAGCTGCAGATCTGCAAACTGCTTGCGGTGTCTGTACAATATTTATCAAAATCAGCTGTACAGTATCAAGATTGCAGGAGCCAGAAATGGGGCCCAAATATTAAATAAAAATAGATTGGCGTAAAAATATACATAGTCAATTTGAATTTGTATATTGAAGACAATGGATAAGTAATTTGCTTATCTTAGAATGTCACTTTGCTTTCAATAATTTAGAGATGGGTTCAACAAGCACACAAAAATTCTAATTGGATTTCATGGAGCACACAAAAACATCTCAGGGGGGAGTGGAGAGTAGTCTAGCATGATGTTGTGTGTTTATAAAGTAAGTTGCGGTTTTTTGGGGGTGGGGTGGGGTGGAAATGCAAGTACAATTTTTAGTATTCTGCCTTATTTCAGTAGCATGCAGTTTCCTCATCTTCCACTAGATGGAAGTGTTTCACAATGGTATTACAATCTGTAGGACTTTTAAGGACTGTTGAATATCATCCAAGGTGTGAAAATTACCAGTTCTCATCCTTTCCCCCAACATATTCCAGAGGAGTTTCTGAATAAATATTAAATCCCAAATATAACCCCCCCAAATTACATATTCAGCAGAAATAGCCCTTTCCTGAGATATAGATCATTACATGGATGCACATTATACTAGGTAATGCTATTTTCCCATATGTCCCAGAATCATCTACTCTGATGTAGATATATACAGATGAAAAAATGTTTGTATTTCTCCTGTTTAGGGTGCTATCTCCACTATGGTGCTCTTGCAGAGTTCCCATACTTTTTGATAGGGTTTGCACACAAGAAATTCTCTCTCAGTGGACGGTGCTCTTTTTAATTTGTACAGAAATGCTTTAGTATATAGGACCGATGTCCTCATTCCAGTGGTAACCTCTTTAGGCCAACTTAGGTTTTACCACCTCTAATCTGTAGTAAAGAAAAATGAGTTGTTTAAAAACTACAGTCTGACAGAGCTGTTTTAAATAGGATCGTCATTTAAAACCAAAGCCCTGCAGTTCCTGAGCCACCAAAGCTACATAGGACTCAGAGCCATCTCCAACACCAAGTAAAGCACAAGGCTCTACACACACACACACACACACACACACACACACATAGTTTTTCTTACTATGGCTTTACAACACTTTGCTTAGTCCGAAGAAAAGTATTGCCTCAATGTAGCTTTCTTCCCAATGGAGAATAAGCACCGCCTATGATTTTTTGTCTATTTGGGAGATCATGCTAAATGTGTGGGTTATTCATGATCATATCTGTTGAGAATTAGAAAAACAGCAAGGGGGGATTTCTCTATCAGGAAATGGAGCATTTGCACCTAATACTTCATCTGTTTAATTAAAGCAGCATTCACCCCCATAACCGTCTAACCAATGAAATTTACATTGTAATTGTGTTATTAATCTTGGTGTTTCCAAATGTCTCAACACAAATACATCTACATTCTCTTAACGTGGACTAGCTCTGAAAGCAAAATACATTTCTGGCCTTAGTGAGTGAGCAACTTGCATTAATCCACAAATAAGGATATGTCACACCCTACATCAAAGATGCCATCCAGCCTGTTAACTTCAGAAAATCAAACTACATAGGACCATCTATCG